TAATATGGCAGACATGGATGTAATAGGGCAGACGTGGATGTAATAGGGCAGACATGGATGTAATAGGGCAGACGTGGATGTACCAGAGCAGACGTGGATGTAATAGGGCAGACGTGGATGTAATAGGGCAGACGTGGATGTAATAGGGCAGACGTGGATGTAATAGGGCAGACGTGGATGTAATATGGCAGACATGGATGTACCAGAGCAGACGTGAATGTACCAGAGCAGACGTGGATGTAATAGGGCAGACGTGGATGTAATAGGGCAGACGTGGATGTAATAGGGCAGACGTGGATGTAATAGGGCAGACATGGATGTAATAGGGCAGACATGGATGTACCAGAGCAGACGTGGATGTACCAGAGCAGACGTGGATGTAATAGGGCAGACGTGGATGTAATATGGCAGACATGGAAGTACCAGAGCAGACGTGGATGTACCAGAGCAGACGTGAATGTACCAGAGCAGATGTGGATGTAATATGGCAGACGTGGATGTAATAGGGCAGACGTGGATGTAATAGGGCAGACGTGGATGTAATAGGGCAGACGTGGATGTAATAGGGCAGACATGAATGTACGAGAGCAGACGTGGATGTAATAGGGCAGACGTGGATGTAATAGGGCAGACGTGGATGTAATAGGGCAGACATGAATGTACGAGAGCAGACGTGGATGTAATAGGGCAGACATGGATGTAATAGGGCAGACATGGATGTAATAGGGCAGACATGGATGTACCAGAGCAGACGTGGATGTACCAGAGCAGACGTGGATGTAATAGGGCAGACGTGGATGTAATAGGGCAGACGTGGATGTAATATGGCAGACATGGATGTACCAGAGCAGACGTGAATGTACCAGAGCAGACATGGATGTAATAGGGCAGACGTGGATGTAATAGGGCAGACATGGATGTACCAGAGCAGATGCAAATGTACCGGGGCAGACGTGAATGTACCGGGGCAGACATGAATGTACTATGGCAGACGTGAATGTACTGGGGCAGAGCAAATGTACAGGGGTAGATGTGAATGTACAGGGGTAGATGTGAATGTACCGAGGCATACGTGGATGTACAAGGGCAAACATGAATGTTCTTGGGCAGATGTGAATGTACCAGGGTAGTTTGTGGCAATGGGGAAATGCGAGGAGTGTAGAGGTCATACCACTGATGCTTCCTGCCGTTGCTGCAGTGCCTGTTCCTTGTGCTGGGAGGGTGCAGTTGGAGGTGCACCTGATGCAACAGGCTGTGCATGAATGGTTCAAGTGGTTCAGTTTCCCTCCTTATCGGCCAATTTGTAATAGAAGAGTGCAATCTATGTTTAGCAATGGGGTATCAGATAAGGGAGCATGTTTGCTTCCCGAACCATCGCATGTTGATGAATCTGATAGCATTGATGGGCCACTATCTCTGTGTTACACTGGGAGTGGAGGCTCCTTGTTCATACTTACTCTGTTACCTGCAGTTGGTGCCACGGATTAGATTGTCGCTCTGCACGGATGGGGTCACTCTGAAAGGTGTGACGATCACGAGGTCACATCATGAGTGCTACGAGGTCGATTTCAAAGTTTTTAAGGATCAACAAATTTGTTCTTTGTTTAAATCTTAAGTACCTTAAAACATGCTTCATCATCGAGCTCTATGTCAATTTTTCTTCAGTTATATCATCTTAATTTTGATACAGCTTGGCCCCACTGGATTGTGTTTGCTAGGTGCCAGTTGACCAGGGCCCACTTGCTCAAAGCGATCATAGCGCTACAATGATCGTAACTCCCATAGGCTTAAGATAATCTTAGTGCTAAGATGGCTTTGTGCAATGGGCCCTGGTTCTGTCCTCTTGGTATATCACACTTAATGTCTTTAATGGTGTTTACTTGTCTGCTTTTGATGAAACAAGTAGCTTTGATTTAACCATGGTCCATGATCCCTCATCTAACCCTCCCAGTCAACAGTTGGCCTGCATTCAGTGTGTTTCACTTATTTAGAGAGGACATGTTCAGAGAGTATCTCCTTAATGGAGGCACTTTCAATTTCATTGAAGAATTTTCCCAATTATGTTCATTACCTTCACGACTCGGATGTCAACCAGTTGCTGGCAGCCATTGAGACAAAGCTCCTTACAGTGTACTCAGTGAACTCCACACAGAGCCTGCCTGTGGGGTGAACATAATTGGCCAGGAAACTATATCAGACCAAGAAGCCAGACCAGTTTTGTAGAAGTTATTTCAGTTTGATATGCTCAGCTGATAAAAGTCAGCATGTTGAGATTAAAATCTGAAAAAATGTTTGTGCTGGACTCTCTAGGTTTTGCATAGACTGTCACATCTATTTGCTTCACTCTAGGAATTCTCTGACATGGGCCCTTTATGTGAAAATTCCAAATATTCCAGTAGTACGCCCATGCAGCACAATGTTAAGATGCCCCATTGTATTTGAAGCTGTGACACAGCAGTTATATTCTTCACTCACTCACTCACTCACTGATTCTTGTTGTCTATCCTTGATTGGGGATGCTTCTGTACAGCAACATATTCCTGAAAATGTTGGAACCCAACTTACTCCAACACGTCCTTGCCCAGCAGAAACTGACAGTCTCCTTTTTTTATGTCAGATTCCCTGTTTGAATGAAGGAGAAGTGTCCTATGCTGTACAGTTGTTGTGTCTGCTGAGTGAGATGAACGTAGCGCAAGACGGTACTGTCACGCTCAACCTACAGATGAAAGGCAATATATTGACCAGCGATACGTGAGATATAAGTTTATGTCCAGCCTCACTTATGTATCCATGTAGTTGTATTGATCTTTCCTCAATGCATGGGTCCAAGTGTCGCCAAGCTAGCGTGCCGACATTCGCTCACTGTTGCGTTATCAACTTGGATGCTTGAATGGTATTTCGATCAGCACATTATCAGCTGGAGTCAATATTACTGTACTGGAACAACGATGTTAGGTCAATCTGTTCAGGAATCAATGGCTACAATTAGTGAACAGTATGAAGCATAAATGATTTAGTTTTTGGGCAGTGGATGTACAGAGGGGCACCAAACATTGTATGACCACGTTCAGTGTTGGGATATATTGATCTGAGATCCGTTACAAAGTTTTACGTAGTTTATTGCCCAACAGGAGTCCAGTGGTTAGGTACTGTAAATCCTGGAATAAATGCTCTCCCTGAGCAATCGCCAGCCTTGAATATATGTCTGCCTTGAATATATGTCTGACCTCCTGAAAGATATAGATGCCATTCTGGATTAAAGGAAAGTAATGTTTCTTGGTAAAAATTGCAATAGGACATTTACATGAGCTTTGTCAAATAATGACTGGACATTTTTCAAGACGTTAACAAATTTTGAAAAGATTCTCCAGTGCATTTGGATGTTCCAGCAGCTCTGAAGACTGAGGACGTCAAGTGATATGTAGAAAACGAGACTTTTGAAACAAAATTGAAACAGAACTTGATGCATATGTCTCTTCTCTGAACAAACGAAGCGCCTCGTGACCTTCAGAAATAACTAAACACCTGGCATTTATTGAAAGAGTGACAGGATCGCATGGTTGGATGGGGATGTTAATAGGAAAGCACTTGACACGTGTTGTTTGTAGGAAGGCGATTTTGAGTTTTGTTTATGTTCAGTGCTATAAATAGGTGTAGTTTGAGTTTGTGTAACATGCTTTTGTTGGATTGTGAAGCCAGTTATCAGATTAATGAGAAGATATGATCTGTGGGAACTCATTTTTCCCCCTCCATCCGCAATGTAAATGTTACAGCAACAGTTAGGTGGGACAGAGTGCCACTCTCTAGAGCATCTTGGTGTAAGGAGACACAAAACAATGGATATTCTAAGGGGTTGCCTGGGATTATAATTTTTAATATTTAAGAAGAAAGTGGAAAGTAATATTCTGTGTTATTTTATTCCACCCCCGTATAAGTCAATTGTTTGCTGTCAATGTTGTCCTCAACAAAACATGTTTAAAATAAAATGTTTTTTGTATGATTGAAAAAGTAACTGTAGAGATATCCTGTTTCCTTGACAAGTTGTGTATGTTGCTCCTCGCACAAAGGGCAGTAAAATATCATTATTTTTATTACCCGGGTCTTTGTTGGGGATTCAAGAACAAAGCAGGTCCTCAGAACTTACACAGCATTGATTTTGCTGGAGACAAACTGCTCCATGACATCAGATAATCTTTTGATAAAGCATTCTTCTATGTCACTATCAAATTGGGGAATATGTTAGAACACTGGACGACCATTAGTCAGTGCCACAGAAACTGTACTGGTCTCTGCTTGCCGTGTCAGAATCTGCACAGATGAAGGTGTGGTTTTACAATCATCATACTTGGACCATTTTATGTGTGTTGTACTTGCTTGCTTCATAAGGATTCACCCAGCTACCAGCATTGTTCAGGGAAGCTGACATTAAGTGATGCTAATTTCAAATTTGATTGATTGTAGCATTGTATGTGTTCTTACATCAAAACGTAATCCCAGTGCACAGCGAAGTTGACATGGCTCTGTTTGAGAGCTACCATTTCCGTGTGTGTTCATGAAAAAGTTCTGCTGCTTTCTCTGTGTCTTATAGATTGTTCTCAGACTTTTTCCATGTGGTGAATATCCTCCTTGAATCACAACTGAAACCAATGTACACTGCACACTGATAATGACCGGCTGGTCTTGGCCACCTGCTCCTCCATGTACATGGATTGTTGTGTCCTTGATCTGAGACTGATCAGATTTAACTTGAGATAGGACCTTGTAACAACGTAGTGGATGCAGTTAGCTAGGAAAAAGTCAAATCTTGTTTCCAATTTGCTGGTTGAAGGGTTTTCGTTTTCAAGGGCACATAACTCTTGTGTATGTGGCCTTGTTTAATTTTGTCACAAGGGAATCTGGGAGACTTCTTGCACTTTAAAAAAAAATTATGACAACTGTTTCATTATGGTGTTTATTTTGTGAGTTTTTCTGAGATGTATATCTTAAACTGTCTATTCTAGGAGGCACAGTTTGAGCGTCTGACGAGAGAATTAGAAGTAGAGAGAGAGAGCGTAGCTCACCAGCTGAATCAGGTAGGTGTCAGTCTTTACACCCCACCCCAGTTGTCTCCCCTTTGTGTACAGTTTAGTAAATTAGTTCATCCAGTCTCACTTTGAGGCTGCATACCTGTACAGGTTGTTAAACAGTTGTCTCCCCTGGATGGGCACAATTCTATTACAGCTCGAGATGACAGAAGTTGAGTGGAGAGTTTGTCCTGTTGTCTTGATGCTGAGCATTAACCAATCCATTGTGCTCCCTGGTGATAGTGCTCTCTAACACCTAACAGCAGAGGATACTGCTTTTATTATGGGTTCTATGTTGTGTACTATTCTTAGATATTCTTAGATGTTCTACTAATTGTAATAAACAACATATGTCTACAAGGTCAAGACCAGTGTTTCTATAAATAACTGCACAACATCGTACATATATTTGCACACCATTATGCTTTCAAAGATTAATATTTGAAATTGTAAATGTACACCCCCCCCCAAAAAAAATAAAAAAAATAAAACAATAAGAAAATTTAAGAAAAAATAAAATATTGCAAACCAATTTCCAATCAAATTGTGCCCTTGATAAGATAGGATTGGCCGGTGACATCACAGTGGAGGTGGCCTCTGTGACTGGTATGTTGTGCACCTCTTTGTTACATGGGGCCTGGAATGTTCAAATCATAATCTACCACAAGAAGTAGCAGCAGTGATGTGTGGCATGCACACGGCCAGAGGCGTCTTTCCCTTCCGGCTTATACAGGGATAGTCAGCTCACACACTCAAATTGTTCCCTCTTTAATCAAGTGCTATTTATAGTCATGACTGACGTTCATCTATCAACAGGTAGTTTCATCATGAATAACAATTGTAATTTTCACACAAAGGATAAATATTTTTCTTTATGTGTTGATGACTGTTTAAAAGGAAACTTGAGACGTGGAAATTTGTCTTTCATGTCTCGAGATGTTTGATTTAGCGTGGTGTGCATGTTGATGACAGATGTTGAAAGAAATAAAAACTGTGCAAGTTTCAAATGAAGACAACAACATTTTATCATTTCCTGGCTTTAGCGGGAAGTGTAAAAAATTACCTCAAAATGGGGAAAAGGCAAAAATACTCAGCCCATTTTTTCCCCTTATTTTACACTGACTTGTGGCTGCTATAACCTGGTTTCTTCCTAGTTTCAAGTAACACGCCAGGAGAGTTTCTATCTAAAATTAGTTCACCAGCACTCCGTCAAGAGGAAATTGTGTAAACGAGTTCAGGTGAGGGAACCAGCCATTTATTTTCGGAGGACTTGGGAGTTTAGTTTGAGGCAATTGAATTTTTTCATTATTCTACCAACACTTTGGTATCTTTTTTAACTTCAGGAGACAAAAAAGCTTTTAGCATCTTTTGTAAAACAAAAATTTCAAAAAAGACAGTTGAACATTTCTTCACAAGACTTGCACACACAGCAATGGGTGAGAGGCGATGCCTTTTGCTGATGAGGTCACTTTGAAAGTTTTCTTCTTCTGTTGGAATGAAAACTTACTTATAATTTTTCAATATTTTTCCATGAACTCATCTCTCTATGACTAAAGTTTCCTTATTGGACAATTTAAATTTTCATATGGCCACAATATTGTTTTTGGTTGAGAAAAATCCAAGCTTCCAATAAGATTAAATGATTGCTCCCTGACACGGTCAGGTCACAAGTACCGAGGTAAGCACAAAAAGTTGGAATCTGAAATACTTAGTATGGAGCCATGGGAGTGATTAAAATATCAGGGGAGAAAACTCCAGACAAGATGAAGCCAATTGATGTTACTGATCCCGCAATGTCATCAGTATTTGAACTGCAGAGATGAGAAAAAATTACGTGGAGGCTGTGAGGGAGGTTTTTATCTGTGTTTAGCGGACTGATATTGAAAGCAGGGAAGCAAGGGGGTTTGTAATGTTTTCTACACAGACGCCATCATTGTAAATCTATCAGTGGGACAATTCACCCAAAGGTTACAGGCCTTGTTTAACTATGAAATACACACAGTGAATACATAATGAAAAATAGGCCTGCAACATTTTGAATTTATGTTTAGAATATATGCTGAATATGGTGAATTATCAGGAGATTGAGGGAAGCTATCGAATACACGATACCTGTAAGTGACACAATTAGGTGTTCAAACATCACAGAAACATCCCATGCTTCACTCCATGTTCATTTGCATGTATATTATTATGGAATGATAGAGTGGTTTAATATTCGTTCATCCTGCATTGTCCCCCTAATTTGCCTGAACTTTTTCTGTGGTAGGTAGCAAGTTCATTCAACAAATCATTGTTCATGTATATTACCTGCACCAGTGTTGATAGATATATATCTGTGGTGCATCATGCTTTGTGAATGACTACAAATATTTTGCTGGTGCATCATGTCATGCATGTCACATGACACTGTATGTTGCATGGTGAGGAATGATAAGAGTTACTCAAGCTTTCTTCAATGTATCATTTATAATATATATCTTGTTTTCATTTCACTTTGACACAGTTTCTTCCTCTGTTGGACGTACCTGTTCAATTTATTTAGATTCACTTGATTATATGTAAACAATGTACTTAAAAGAGACTGGCTTGGGGGTTGGGTTGGGTTGGAGTGTGTGTGTGTGGGTGGGGGTGGCGGGTGGTGGGGGATGGGGGGGGCGTGGGGGGTGGGGGTGGTGGTTTGGATGGGAGCCTTTGAATCATACATTGTGTATAGAAGTTTTCCCTACTTTTGGTCAAATGAAGCCCATAGAAGAGAATGTATACAAAACCTTCCCGCAAAACTAATCAAAACAAGAATGTATATTTAAATATTCTGCAGTTTGTCACAAGAATCATATGCAGATATGTCTTCAGATACTTTGAAAAGGAGGCCCTTCAAACTGGAGTACTGTGCTGAGGAGCTTCTACTTGAAGTCTTGTTTATGCTTCACAATATTCTTACAGAGGAGGGCTGCTCATTTCCATATCCACAGCACCAAATCATGTGTGTGTTTTTTCACTTACTCCATTAAGGTTAACTGCATCTCAGTAGCGCCATCTTCCTCCAGATGTAATGTATTGTCAGGCCCCCTAACTAGATTCCAACAATAACCCTCCCAACCCCTCACTGACTGATACAGGAGGGATGATGAGTCTTGGGGAACATACGCCAGACTTCTCTTGTGGACTGAAACTTTTCCTCATTCTGGAGTTGAGGGAAGTTTTGAAAACAAAGGATTTTTGCTAAGCTGGGAATAGTATGGATGGACATGGTGGAAGAATGGAACTCGTGAAGAAGGAATGTTCGCATTGTGAATATGAAGGGACTTTGGATTGTTCTGTTATATTGATTCTTTTGTTTTATTCAGCCGCAGTTCAGTAATTAAAGTAGATGCGGCCTGGGTATGAGAGCTCGCAAAGATCTCGTTAGCTTGAAACATATTTAATTAAAATGGGAGACTAAGTTTTAAAGATGGTTTGAGACATCTGAGAAAATCAAACATGTCGGCTTTGTGGAACTGTATGGTGAGTATGGCGTGCAGTGGGGAATTTCTGTGTGATACTTTAGAGCTGGGGGTTTGTATTTCTTTAACTGGTGATTTAGATGTGTTTGTGCTTGCAACAGAGGAAGAAAATGTGATTTGTCATGCATTGATTCATCATTGAGATTCTGTGTCTGTGTGTCAAAGTTTGTAATGTGTGTCTGTTGACTTTCTTGTCTGTCTGTCTGTCTGTCTGTCTGTCTGTCACCTTCCAATGTACTTGTGTTAGTGTGATGTGTCCCATCAGTTTGTTGTGTTAAGCCCTAAGAAACAAATACATGTTTATAATAATTTTAAAACCCAACAAGACAGTCGGGCAGGTGACCCATAAATGTTGCCTGCCCATCTTCAAAGTTACCTGCCCACATTCAGACATTAGAAATGTTGAACAATTGCAAAAATTAAGAGACAAATCATGTCTCGATTCAGTTGAAATACTGCAAACAATTACTTCAGAATCTACAAGTAGTTGTGATAAAACTAAATACATAAGTCATCTTAAAATTGTCTGCCAGAAGTCCAGCAGGTAGAGGAAAATTTCATGCAGTCCGACAGAAACGTTACCAGCCACGGGGAGGCGGGCGGGCAGGCAGGCGGTTATTTCAGACACTGATACCTTGTCATTGAAAGCAATCAGGGCGTGGGCGGAATAGTAGCCTGGGATACTGCAAATATCTGTGTTATAATGAGTTGTGTCCGTTAGACCCACCAGGATCCACTGATCATTGGTTTGAATCCCTGTAACTTTCTGATCATGATCCTTGACCTGTCAATGCCATACAAAAGCTCCTGTTTTTCACTATATCAGTAAATGTTTATGGCTACTTGCATCACTTTGGGCTTGCTACCCACATAAAGCTGATGCCATTCTGCTCAAAGCGGTTTAAACCCAGCTGAGCCACTCATCTTGTCCCATGCCTTTCATGTGTCAGCTTCTCATCACGTCCACCTTACCGTGTATGTCTGTGTCCACGTGTCAGGGCAGGCAGTGGCTGTATAGTCAGGATTGTTTCACATAAGTACCTGTACAATACTGCATCAAAGAAAGGCCCTCATTTGCAGTGGAAATTCAAATATCAAACAGAATGCTTCCTATTAACTTAAAATATTCAAATCTTATATTGTGGGATATTGTAGAATCCAGGGATTTCTTTTGGATTCCAAACTAACTGTCCTCTGCAGGCATCCGGGAAACAGTATTGTTCACAGTTAGGAATGTTTTAAGTTCTAATTATATGAAAATACTGTGACATTGAGCATGTCTAAGGCAAGAATGAAGAGCCAAGCATTAAAGTCTCTCTCTATTGGTCCTGTTGACATGTAAATATAAGTCGGCTCTTCGAAACCATAACATTAGTCTTATTGGGATGAATTGGGACATCTTTTCAGTCAAAATTGTGATCATTTGCTGTGGATTGGGTCGAGAAACATGCCTGTGTTTGACACCATAAGCTTGTTTGGTGATATTCAATGTTTGGTTGGTCATCAATGTCTGTCTGTCTGTCTGTCTGTCTGTCTGTCTGTCTGTTAGCCTTTGTCCGACTGTCTGTATGTCTATTTGTGTGTCTGTCAGCACATGTCTGTCTGTCTGTCTGTTAGCCCATGTCTGTCTGTTTGTCTGTAGAGGGACTAACGAGGCCCTTGGTGTTGTATTATTTATTTCAGCATAGACTAGGTAGTGACTCGGGGAGCATGACGAGCGCGGACGACTCGTACATGTGGCGAGGGCAGCCCTCGTCCCAGCAGACGTCGTACTACGAGGATGACCCAAGTCACTTGGCCGATACCTCTAAAATGAGCTCGCATCTATTGGACTCTTGTCTGTGAGTATGGGCCAGCCGCCACGCGAACCATGTCAATAAGACGGAAAGATGAATGGCAAACCTTAACACAACCATCTGTGTGAGGACTACTGGCTATTTTGTTTCTGGGAAAAATGTATGTGCAAGAATTGTCTTACTTGATGGTAATTTTCCATTCATTTATCATCGGGAATAGGAAATTTCTCAAATTTATGAATCGTGAACTAAATGGGTTTTTTTGGGTGGGGGGATAGGAATTTTTTTTTAATATTCGACTCCCCTTTTTGTAATCTTTTGCCAAAAGATGTAGGTAATTTAGCATTTTGGGTGATTTTGATTAATAAGTTTTTAGGAAATCAGCTAAATAACTTATCCTATCTTCTACCTTCGAGGGGCATAAGTCAGACCACAGACTTGAGTTGAGAGAATAGGAATGTGGTTATGCAGTTGTTCAGTTGCCATGGCAACTGCTAATAAGCAGCCTCAATTCTTCTCTCAATTTTTCGATTGAAGAAAATCCACAGCGGCAGCAATTTCTATTTGATCAAAAGGTGTTCAATTCTTTACAGCGTTTTTCAGCATGATTGCATGTGACTGGTGCATGTGTTAGATGTTATTCTGAATTGGATTTGCGGAATATCACCCCCCCCCCCCCATTCTTTCATGTCTCCTCTCTCTGTTTCTGGAGGGTTTCTTGTTAGCTATCTGTCATCCATGTTCATCAACCACATCACACCACCTCAACATGCCCCACCCATCTACAGCCAACCCCTGCAAGTCTGGACACCCTGTTAATCTGGACATCCCATTAATCTGGACACCCCTTTAATCTGGACAATTTCAGTTTAACATGTCTCCATCTGACTAACTGGATGAATACCAGAGTTCAAAGACTAAGCCTTAGGAGTCAAGGGAATCTACTATTAAAAGAAAATACTTTAGGGATAAAAAAAGTTGACAAACTTACAGATCAGAACCCTCTAATTTCGATCATTGCATTCTCATGATTTGTTACTCCAGATTATTTTACTGTTCCGGTTAATGAGGTTCCGCTGTGAACCCTTAACCCTATCACTGCCAGCTATCATGCACACAACATCTATGTTAACCCTATCACTGCCAGCTATCATGCACACAACATCTATGTTAACCCTATCACTGCCAGCTATCATGCACACAACATCTATGTTAACCCTATCACTGCCAGCTATCATGCACACACATCTATGTTAACCCTATAACTGCCAGCTATCATGCACACACATCTATGTTAATCCTATCACTGCCAGCTATCATGCACACACACACGGCTCATTCATCAGTATGTTTGTATGTTGATTCACATCATTAAGCCTGGTGTACAGACCCACATCTGATTGACACACGGTACATTCATAAAGCAGGGGGCACCTGCTGGAATGTTGCTGCAGCAGGTGTAAAGCCAACTCACTCACTCACTCACTCAGTCACCCTAGATTTACGCAGCCCAGAAGGAAGACATGACAGTGGTGGCAGGTGTCTGTTGCAGTGTGAGATGCACTCTTTGTGGGTGAGATCAAGTGATAGCTCCCAGGCCATATCACTACAATGAAATTGCATCACAATGCTTTGCAGACGATTGTGACATCATTAGCAGATTTAGGAACATGTAGCATCTGGAGAAGACACTAAAACCATGTGATCACCCATGTTAAAACATGAACTATTCAGTGATGAACAATATCAGCCAGCTAAACGGTAAAATTAACGTAACTTGGATACATCTACTGAAATCACAGAAGTGAAGACCAGCTATTTCCAATATGGCCCTGCTAAGCGTGGCGATGTTATTTTTTGTGTGAAGTCCAAACTTAATAATAAAGATACAGCAAACTAACTTCAAACAACCCGTGGTGATTATTTCTTGACAATCATTCTGTTTCTTGTTAAAAGTCACATTCTATAAATGTCTTATTTAATCATAAAACATTAGCGTACCATTTCATGAAAAATAACATGAAAAGGTGTCAGCATAACATTGTGCCAATTGACAGTCATGTGACAATAATATGCTCAATTTATCCTCCACCTTCTTCAGAATGCCAGTGAAAGAGTTTGACTTTGAGCATAGATTCTAAGAGTAATTTAGATCTTCCAGGTGTGACCTTCTCTAGGAAATAAAAAAGATATTTTTTCCTGGGCAAACTAATCCTGTGAGTTAATAAGTCGCCAAGATTTATTTGCAATGTCGCCATGGTGATGAATTGATGGGAGCTCGGTGCTTTGTGGAGTCCATTGTTGATAAAACCAGTGCCCAGTAAAATGACCACATCTGTGAACTGATTCCAAAACATCTACCTTTTAATAATTCACATCTTCAAATCTTATGATCATCTGTTGCAAGGTATGATCATGTCTTTGGTCCTGGACATATTGTAATAAGGGTAGTGCTCGTATTTACCGTCATGTGGTAAGAAGAAATGACAATTGCCCTATGAGTTATGTCTACAATGTGTACACTCATTAGTGGATATTTCTCGTGATATGAAAAGAAAAAAGTAATGAATAATTCAGATAAAACGGCATGTCAGACTGCAAGTGTATGCTGGCTGCGTGACTCGCAATACTGGCGGTACTAAATCATTGAACTCGCGTACACAACAATGCCACAGAAAACACAAAACAGTTGTCAATAATTTATGTCTTTGTTGGGAGTTACTTCAACCATGGCATGAGTACAAAATTACTTAATGGCTTGTAACGATTTGGTTTGTAATGGAAAAAACTAGCTCTTGCATGCATAAAGGACGGTTAAGTAAATGAGTGATGAAATCAGACATATTGTAGTGGAGGTGTGCACGTAAGGGTGGTGGGAGTGTAGTCATGTCTAGGTGTCACTGTGTTCATTTCCTGAGATCCGTGAAGATCCGGGGTAGAATAGGTCTTCAGCAACCTATGCTTGCCGTAAAAGTTGATAAGCTTGTCATAAGAGGCGACTAACAAGATCTGGTAGTCACATGGATGCATGTCATCAAATCCCAATTGCATGGATCAATGCTCGTGATATCAATCACTGGATTGTCAGGTCCAGACTCGATTATTTACAGACTGCCGTCATATAGCTTGAATATAGCTGAGTGTGGCGTTAAACAACAAACAAACAAACAAACAAACAAAACATGCTGTTCTAGATTCACAGGTATTGGGTCAAAGTAAATAAACAAATCATTTCCTGATGTTATTACATCTTTTTGGAAGACTGAAATTGAGGTGTGGGGGTTTAATTACAGAGGCTGCGGGGCTACTAAACATGTGTCGTTATTGTTCAATTTGGCGAAGTTTGAAGGCAGATTTGCTGACAAAGTTATTTAGTGGGTATGTTCTTCTTGAGGGCTGGTTGGCACGGAAATGTTTTTGCCATGCCAGGAATTGCCATGGGTTCAATTCTCAAATTTGCCCTGATTGTGATCTCACCTTCATGGAATCAAAGCAAAACCAAGGTGTGGAGTCCGTGCTGTTATCACGTGAGTGACAACATGTGGACATTAAAATGGACAGGTGGCCCCATGGTTAACATGGTAACTTACCTCACATTTGTCCTGAGTTTGTTTCCTGACTTCGGTGTAAAGCAAAAAGCAATATCTTGGAGTGCCTGCTTTCTTGGTGTTGAACACATTTAATATCGAACAATTAATCTATTTTAATTTCTGTGGCTGAAAATGAAAACAAGTTTAATTAGGAAACCTGTGCACATCCTTTCCCAAATGTAAAAATATGTGGTCCAATTATATGTTCTTTCCCCACTTTAATTAGAACTAAATCCATATTGGGTGGTCAGGCTCGCTGACTTGGTTGATGCATGTCATTGTATCCCAATTGCCTGGATCGATGCTCATGATGTCAATCACTGGATTGTCTGGTCCAGACTCGATTATTTACAGACATATCTAGTATATTGCCGAGTGTTACATTAAACAACAAACAAACAAAAACTAAATCCATATATTAATAATAATCCTTTCAATTAATTGTGTTTATCAATGAGTGTATAAATAAGAGACACACATGAACACAGCACTAACGCTGTGACACAAAGTATCAAGTATGACACAAAGTAACAATCTAGTGTACCCAGTGACCTCCTGACGATGTATGTTGGAGCCCCTCCCCCCCCCCAGCACACCCCCCACGGCTCAGTGATTCGCTCTCCTGATAAAGGAACAGTGAATCAGCTGATTTCAACCTGCTTGTGAGGAGGGACCGTGTTAAAATTATTTTCATCCCTATCAATCTTTCACCACCCTACTTCCTGTCTTCCGTGAAACAGATGCTCTGACTTGTATCGGGGCAGACTGAGACTCGTTATTTGTTTAACACAAGATTTCATCTTAATGAGCAATTCCATTAAGTATTGTTTATTTTGCTTTTGACACAGCCCCTGACATAACATCGCAGGATAACTATTCCTCTCCTTTTCTTTGTCTCTTTCCTATTAACCTACCTACGTCAGCTGACATCTATTCTGAGGTATCAACATTGACAGGTGGTAGTGCCATTAGGAGTTTTCACTTGTTAAAAACACCCAGTAACACCAGTTTTTGTAGACATGTTTTAGTTTTGACTCAGCATAGTGACTTGTATCCAGGGCGCTATTTCCTACTAGTGGCATTAAGACTGCGAAGTGTTATTGAGCTATCTCGATCGTTCATCGCGCAGCAAGACTTTGCTGTTCAGTCTTGAAGAGCTATTTATTCTGTGCGTAGTGGATTATGAATAAGGTTCGACAGTAAGGAGCTGTTGGACTTTACAACTGTGAGATTGATCTATCACAGGAGCAGAGGGCAAGGTCGTTCAGATATGGGACAAAGGTAACAATTCTTCCACATGTTGTCCTGCCCCGTGAAGATCTGTGTCAGAATAGGTCGTCAGCAACCCATGCTTGTTGTAAGAGGCAACTAACGGGATCGGGTGGTCATGCTTGCTGACTTGGTTGATGCATGTCATCGTATCCCAATTGCGATGCTCATGATGTCAATCACAGGATTGTCTGGTCCAGACTTGATTATTTACAGACCGCCGTCATATAGCTTGAATATTGCTGAGTGTGGCCTTAAAGAACAAACAAACAAACAAAGCATGCTGTTCTAAATTCACAGGTATCGGGTCAAAGTACCTGTGAGAATTACCTTACGTTTAAATGTACTGCTGGGTTATCTGCAGCAGTGTTTATTATGTTTATTATGTTTATTATCTACCTAGTGTACACATTTCTAGTGGTCAGCTGGACGTAGTCTGTAAATCTCATAACATCTGTACCTTCTGTTCCAGTCTCTGTCTGTCCCTGGTGTTGTCCTATAATGATTAACAGTGGTGGTGGTAGACGTGGAGATGGGTACCTTCTGTTCCAGTCTCTGTCTGTCCCTGGTGTTGTCCTATAATGATTAACAGTGGTGGTGGTAGACGTGGAGATGGGTGTCACTCGATGTGTTTGTTCAACTAACAGAGGATAGTTTTGATTTTGGACACATATTGATCTGTTAAGTTGAACCCAAGTTAGGGGAAGACTGTTTTGTTTCCATCTATGAATTGGAATACAGTGTATCTATTTGTGACGATATAAGAATACAGTGATATCCATGTGTGATGATGGAAGACAGTGTATCTATTTGTGACAATATAAGAATACAGTGTATATCCATGTGTGACGATGGAATACAGTGTATATCCATGTGTGACGATGGAATACAGTGTATATCCATGTGTGATGATGGAATACAGTGTATATCCATTTGTGATGATGGAAGACAGTGTATATCCATGTGTGACGATAGAATACAGTGTATATCCATGTGTGATGATGGAATACAGTGTATATCCATGTGTGACGATGGAATACAGTGTATTTATTTATGACGATATAAGAATACAGTGTATATCCATGTGTGACGATGGAATACAGTGTATATCCATGTGTGACGATGGAAGACAGTGTATATCCATGTGTGATATTAGAATACAGTGTATCTATTCATAGAAACATTTTAATCTGTAGATATTTTAAGTTCCAATTTGCCTTACTCCTGCAGCCACAGCTATGTGAGGATTTCAGCTTGACTTCAGGCTTCCTACCAGCTTGCACATGCAGTATTTCTCGTGTTTGTTTTATTTTGTATGTATCAAGTCCTTATCTCGAAAGCAAGTGTCAATGATGTTTGTGTATAACTCAGCTATTCAACCAGGATTTCTGTTATCTGGTTTATTGCACGACGTGTCTGCCTACTACAGACTTGAAGTGTAAGAGCCATTAACAAATGACAGGGGAATACTTACGGCATGAATCACCTGTAGGACTCACCCCAGGGAGGGGGGTCTTCGTGTTCCTTCTTACTAAACGACTTGAGGCAGGTGACACACGTTATGTCTTGCTGGTGGAACACAACATCATCAAAGGAAGGTCTAAGGGCAGCTCACCCACACAGAAAGTGAAGCATTTCCTAGGGGTAATCCACAGCCCCACCAATAAAGATTTGTAAATTGTCAGACATCTGCTATTGCAGCTTCAAAGGTCAGAATGACCCAACCAGACATTCTAATGTATTTTAACAATTTGAAGAAAAGAAATAGATTGTTTAGTGAGTTCCTCTCATATGATTTCTCATTCAGTACATTAGTGTCCTTTGTTAGATTTCTTTTCACACCATGTCATCGTTTTCACTAAAGGATAAAATCAAATAATTAATTCACTGAAGAAAATTATTTTACATATTTTGATGAATATTAGGCAGAAAATGTATAAATGAAAAAGATCTTAAATAATCTATTATTATTATGTAGCTTAATTTGACTGTTAGCATGGACATTTGCTCGTGGAGGTATACTGTGGTTGGAGTAGACACTTGCTTTCAGAGATCAGGGTCATTGTTGTGTATTTGCTTACCATCTGTTTGCCTCGACCCGCGCACTGCACTGTGTTTTGTTTCTGGCAGGCGAGAACTGGAGGACAGGGGCACACTGAACACTGGGTACGTGCGGTAAGGCAAATCTTGTTTTTTTTACCGCGACACGTCATGGAATGTGGAATGAATGGCCTAGTTGATTTGCTGCTTCTTCACGTCTGAGTTTCTCGCTAACTTGTAGGTTTGTTTTCATTTTATATTTCCTTTTGCTTCGTGCTGAATGCTGGCTTGCTTACACAACAGCTTCGATCAAACACAAGTGAGATGGACAATTACTTGTTCAAACATATCCCATGGTTTGATTATATATGTTATAATATTCGTATCTCTGTATCACTCAATAAGCGATGTATACGCCTGTTTAACACAGTATATCCTGGTGGTGTGTATATGATATATGATATGTGCTATAGCTATAACAAGCATTCTGTGGAGCCGGGACGTATGTACTCACACATTGTTGTCAATATGAAAACATAAGGTTTGTTATTTACACTCAATCATGTGCATGTTTACATACAGCCTTTGTTTATACTCAGTGTTTACGGATGACAAGGCTTTCATCTGGTGCCCTGCCAACCCAAATGGGCAGGAATGCAGGTCTTGTGGGCTTGGTATTGTTCGGGGACCAGCTTGTACAAGTAGACATGATAGATCATGGGTCAGAGAGCCAGGCATCAATATTGACCAATCAGACAGTTTGTAGGCAGTTATTCCATGGTGCTATATGTCATATACGATATGCCCACATGTTGTGTAACATTGTAACACATGTTCACCTGCAGATGCACACACAGATGCACACACACATGCAGTGATTTTGTTTCTCGTTTCTCACAACTTTTTGTAATCTGATCGTGCTGGGAGAGAAAATTTTCTTTAATATTTATTTTCATAGGTTACAAATCTGTAAACATAAGCTTGCTTTTTTAATTACTTTGTATATGTGTCAACTATAATTAATTAGTTATGTTACTATGTTACTACTCCCCTGAATCTGACAAATTCATTGTCTGTGAATGCCATTCCATGATCAAAAAGTTGGAATATGGTACAAACAAAATATGGGTTTAACAGTTGTTACTGAACAGTGCTTATGAATAGAAATATAATTAGGGGTGGGTGCAATATCAGGGAAGGGTCATGTGAAACAAGAGATGTATTTCTACACTGTTCCTGTGTGTGTGGTCTGTTATTGGGGGTCAGGGCCTGGAGCACCTAATGTGGTGACAGCTGACATTACACTCCAAAGAGAGGCATGGACCACTTAAATGCTGAAGTGTATGGAACTGTTGTACAAGAGACGTCTCTTTGATTGCATGTGGGATCACTGGTTATGTAACTATGAACCTCTGTGCGTCCTGCCAAAAGTCATGTTGTGGCTGTAAGTGGCACGGGAGGTTGTTACAGTTGCAGTGTAGTGAGATAACAACAGAACAGTGAGGCCAACAGAACAGGTGATGGGCCTGGTCAGCTGGTTGTCACTTGACCGCTGGTATATCCACACATGTGGTATTTTGAGGAAGTTGATGCATGTTGTTCTGACTCCTTATCAGTCCTAATCTGTCCCTTAGCCACCAGGATATGCTGATTCTAGGTTCAAATCCCAGATTTTGAACATTGGTTTGACCGCACCCTTCCCCTACTGGTGGTTGGAACCCCTACAGCTTGCATTTTCTCAGGCTTTTCTCCCACATTCAGCAGATAGAATTGAATATTTTTGAAACCCAACTAATAATCATGGCCCACCTGTGACGATCGGAGGTAGAATAGATCTTCAGCAACCCATGCCTGCCGTAAAAGGTGACTATGCTTGTCGTAAGAGGTGACTAATGGGATCAGGTGATCAGGTGGTCAGGTTCACTGACTTGGTTGATGCATGTCATCGTATCCCAATTGCATAGATCGAAGCTCATGATGTCAATCACTGGATTGTCTGGTCCAGACTCAATTATTTACAGACCGCCATCATATGGCTAGAATATTGCTGAGTACGGCGTTAAACAACATTAACAAACAACAGCATGATCATGACCACAGTTTGGACAAAAGCAGGATTGTATTCCTTCTTATCACCATGATCGGTAGTTGGCTGGCAGCAGACCGGGACACATTGCCAAGCTTGGGTCTCAGGTTCCCATTTGTTTGTCTGAGACCACATCATCTGTCTGACCCGGACTGACTCTGACCTGGACTGACTCTGACCCGGGCTGAATTAATCTGCATTGTGAACTTCACCTGCCACCTCCACTACTGTTTTGTGGTGATTGTATCACAGCTAGTACTGTTGGGGCTAGTTTGTTGGTCTGGTACATGATGCCGGTTGTGTGGCCCCCTGGCCCTGGCTCCCTGCCCAGATTGAGGATATTGACAGTGTTGTAAGAACATCAGCCAGGAGTCCCCAGGGAGCTCCTGAGTTCCACACTGCAAGAGTGTCTGTCTGCTGGTTTCATTTGTGCTGCGACTCCCCTCCAACCTCACCCTATGGTGATCCAGAATAGGTCTTCAGCAACCCATTCTTGTGTATCCCAACTGTGTAGAGCGATGCCTCTCTTACAGCCCCCAGAGCCTATATGCAATAAAAAACCACCCCTATTCTCTCTCAGCCTCTTGTCATCTCCAGCAGCCTGTTCTCACCCAGTGTGCAGCGCTCACATTCAGAGACTTGAAAGTTCCTTTAAACCTCGTGGGTTCCCTTGTGGAATGGTTATCATTTAACTTTGTACATAACTCTATTTAATGGACGACATGTTTGCCTAGCATTACAGTGGAAGGATACAGGAAGACTTGGTCACTAGTGCACGGCAGAACTCAACAGGACACTATTGTCCCCTTCTGTATTGTGTATCATTTCACAAATTGTTTAACTTGCCCTGCTTTTTAGGAACTGATACTTAGCATTGGAGGTTTATCCTTCGAGGTCGATGGTGTCTTGGTGTTGTCTTTAACTAATTGGAACATTTGACATCAAAAAGTGAATTTGGAAAAAAACCTCTTCAGCATGTATTCTGTTTTTTCAAATTGTATTTTGAAGTTTGTGCTCCGCTTCACCCCAAGGATATGATGTGATTTGATTAGTTGAACCAAGTCCAATCTAGAGCTGACATTTGTATTAACAAAGATAAATTCTTGTCAGTTTTCCAAGTTGTCGGTGAAGAATCTGCTTTAAGTGTTTATTGAAACAAAACAATTTTTTGTTGTGTGACAAAAGCATTGACGTCATTGTTTCAATTTCTGGATTGTCTAATTTCAGTTTCTGGTTGAAAAAAAAGGGTTTGTTTTAGAAAAAGTGGACAAATTAAAACTATTTTCAAGTTGTGACAATTAGCATTGGAGGTGTTGATGACATGAGATGATGGAGCCTTGTCTTATGTCAAGTATGTACAATGAGGTGTGATATTGACAATAGTGTGCCCCACCACAAACAATGTCACTTTCAAGTTGACACAGTGTGGTGTCTCCTCAATAGTTGACAGACACTCACACGTGTGTGCTTGGGTGTAGGGTGGTGTATATCATGTGTATAGACCAGGGGAGCCACAACACTGATGACCAGGATGGATGACACACATCTTCAGCTCTCCACTACATTCCGGGCAACCACACCTTGTACATCATTCACTCACACTTTCAATGTCCTGAACTTGATTTGAGTTTGGTTGGAAGACCTGATGTATCATGGTTGGCCCAGCGGTCAAGGTCACTACACCTTTTGCTGTGCAGTTGCCTCCCTTGGCTGGCAGGTTGTGGGTTTGAATCCAAGAACCCCCCATTCCGGTTATATTTGTGTTGGTAGTTTCTCCAAATCTTCCTCCCACTTCAAGTTGCATCAGGTCTACTTCATCATGGTTTGACCTCTGTTGTTGTGCCTGACATGTTGTGTCGTTTGATACAGAACTGGTTTGACCCGAGCAAGTTGTGTCGTTTGATACAGAATTGGTTTGACCCGAGCAAGTTGTGTTGTTTGATACAGAATTGGTTTGACCTCTTGTTGTGACTTGTTGTGACGTTTGACCTCTGTTGTTGAGTCCCACAAGTTGTGCCGTGTGCTAAAGTGTGGGCAGACACCAACTGACCTGGCGATGTGCTGGAGGTGGCCCTGGAGACCTTGTCCACAATGTGTTACCTCTGTCTAAATGTCCCTCCTCTTAGAGATTTTCTAGTGTGTACAACATTTATCACCTGATGTGTAAATAAGCGGTTTATACTCCATGCTTGACACCTTCATAAATAAACCTGTCAGTTTACTGCAGAGAACTGTGCTGGGTTGGAATATCAATATCACATACACTGAACATGCATCATCAGTGCTGGAAATAGATTCTCCGGACCTTGCTGTTGTCCACTTGGTGTGTAGAGCCAGTGACACTATTTACCTGACAACTATACAACACAGACCTTGTGGTACCAGGAGATAGAAATGGTCATGACATTAATTTCATGGTTTTTTTAAGTGTTATCTCACCTAGTTGTGCCAGCATCTGCTAGTAATAAGTTTAAATCCTTGATGTGCCCTGACTGCCTCTGTGGTCTAGTGGAAGAGCGTCCGCCCGGAGAGCGGAAGGTCCGGGGTTTGATCCCTGGCTGCGTCATACCAAAAGACGTTAAAAGATGGTACTTGTTGTTACCCTGTCTAAGAAATACTCAACACCATTAATTTCTGAATTGTGACAAAGGAATTACAATTTTGACTGATTGAAAAATTTTCACCCTTAAAATAAAATTATTGATTTATTTATGCTTGATAATTAGTTATAATTAATGAGACTAACATGCTACAAACAAGGAAAGGCTTTGCAACACCTATATCCCTGACACCTGTGTGCTAGCATTCCCCGGAACCACTCCTCGGTCTCTGTGACAACTGGTGTGCTGGGTGTGGATACAGCGTGACATCAGCCCCTGCTTCTGGTCATGTTAATAAGCAGATTGTACAGTCAGATTGTCAACGTTAGGTTCATATGTCAGCAAGTCCCAAGGATGGCCGTCTTGGTTCAGTAATGTATTGGGTGAATGGCGTAAGGACATCAGTAGAAGGAGGTATTTGTGGAATGATAACATGTGTCAATCTGGGTCTGTGTTTTATCACTGGCACAGTTGTCCCCACAATTAGGGTTCAACCCTTTCAGAACTTTCATTTTAGCTGGAGTGAAACTGACAAGAAAATAATTGTAATGTTGTCACCCCCCCTCCTCCCCCCATCTGCTCTCTCATCCCGTCTCATCCCCTCCTCTCTCTCTCTCTCTCTCTCTGTCTGTGTGTGAGAGAGGAACTCTCTGTCCCCCTGTCTGTAACCCAGGCGTGTTTATTCTCGCCCCAACCATCATTAGCAGGTCATGGCGACCAAAACACCGGCATGCTACAGACGCTTGTTCATGTGCTTCTCCAGCTTAAAATGGCTGCATGCTTAAACTGCATCTATACCATGCCTTTGTTCTTTTCAAATACTACATGTAAAAATAGACACATTTTAGTTGAAGGTTATGCATATTTGAAATTGATATTTGAATTTAGGTGGTGAGGGTGACGTCTAACTTACCCATGAATTGAGATGTGTTTTTCGTAAAATCCCTATGTGTGGTCATGTAGTCATAACTATTTTTGATAACATTTGTTGTGCCTTTGCATGTGTAAAGGTGAAATATTTGATATAGCCTAGTATGAATATTATTGTCAATAAATAGTTAAACCAGACTTCAAAATCACGGGATAATGATCTCCATGTATGCGTAAACAAGCCAGAGATTATTTCTATGTTTATGTTACTTCTGTCATTTAATCTCATTTAATTTCATTTCTGTGTTTTCATTGTATTTCATTTGTGCTATTTAGTTGTCTTCCTGCTTTGATTTTGTGATTTTATCTCATTTGTATTTTGTTAGTGTACAGACAATATGAAACAAACAATTAATCTATGGCAAAAATTAATAATCTAACTATTTATTCAACAATAAGTTATTGTTTTGTTTATTTTTCTGAACTAGGTAAAGAATCAAATAGGTATTTTGTCAAAGTTTGAAAAGAATTCATTTTGTTTCCATCTGGTGAGAACCAATAACGCCATCGTCTGATGAAGGTGGTGGACGGAATGAAATGAATTCCTACCAAACCTTTTGAATCCAGAAAAGGTCAGATCAGTAGATTTATTTGACAGACAGATTCTCATTTACAGGAGGATGTTAAGGTGTGTGAAATGTCCTGTATTTAATGCATGCACAACTGATTGGCTGACAAAAACATGTTGCCAGTGTCGGGGGAACGTATGTACCTGTAACAAGGCTGATTAGAACATTCGTTCAGTGCTGGCTTCCCTCCATAGTCAGGCTAACGAGGACACAGTCATGTCATCTCCTAATTGCTGTTTAATCAGGACTCTCCAGGTGTGCAGTGTACAGAATCCTACCCCCCCCCTCCTTAATAATGCCCCCTTTTGGAAGTGTTTCTCATTCAGTACTCACAAGCTAGAAGACAAGTCCTGGCCATCAGGAGCCTCGTGTATGTGGCAGAGTAAAACAGATTTGGAAATCAATAAAGTTGTGGCTGTGTAATTTTTGGAACAAATATTGAAGTTTGTCATTGATCTTTTTTTCAAGATTTAATCAACAAATGTGTTGGGGAAAACAGCACCTGCCAGGCCTGAATAAGGACTATTTCCCTGACAACTATCCACCTCAGTTTTTCATTGTTCCATGTTCTCTTGTCGATCGAATTAACAAATCAAACAAATATTCAGATTTACCATTTCCTCAAATTTTGTAACTACTTCCGCCCGTCTGATCCAATAGATCCAATGACCGACAAAGATGCATGTCGTGTTTTACAACACATTTATATGCCATTGTCCTCTGAATCATGGCTTTAGATGCAGGCCTGTCTTCCAAGAATGCCCAGAAGTGGTATAATTGCCGTAGTTACGAGCTTGATCTGTCTTTAGAACCAACTGTCTGTTGAAGCGTGCTGTCCGTAGTTAAATGAACACAAACCCTTCAGAGAAAGCCACATTAAGTCACACAGGCACTGCTATGTGGAATGGTGGACAAACACAACGTGTAACGTACAACTCCCAACGTCCTTCCTGGTCCTGAATGTCTGATCAGTGCGTGGATAATGCTGGCTAGGGATGACGTTAGAGCTGCATGTTTTCATTCTGCATCAGCGTTAGACCATAATAAACATTTATTTTTCCTTACTTTATATATTGACTATAATAAATATTTATTTTACCATACTTCATATATTGACTATGATAAATGTATATTTAACAATACTTTATATTGACCAAGATAAATGTTTATTTTATCATACTTTATGTATTGACTATAATAAACGTTTATTTTGCCATACTTTATATCTTGACTATAATAGGGTTTATTGGGGAACTTGAAAGAAAAGACTAAAAGAGGTGGTTAAAGTTAAGTAGCTTCTGGTGTTCTGGACAGACAGTATTAAGCTGGCCGTTTTATACTATTTGTAAGAAGTTATAGCCCTCCTGGAGTTGAGCTGCCATGCTATGCCGAATGAACTATAGTAAACTGCAAGAATTGGCTGGTCATTGACTTCTTGTCATAAGTCTATTTTCCTGACTGTAAAGTATATGTTTTTAAAACTTAAATTGGAATGAGTCGCCAGACAGTAAATGTAAGTTATTGAATACTTTGTTTCAGACTCGTGAAGATCCGAGTTAGAATAGGTCCTCAGCAACCCATACTATGCCTTTGTAGGAGGCGACTAATGGGGTCAGGTGGTCATATTCGCTGACTTGGTTGATGCATGTCATCGTATCTCAATTGCGTGGATCGATGCTCATATCAATCACTGGATTGTTTGGTCCAGACTCGACTATTTACAGACCACCGTCATATAGCTAGAATATTGCTGAGTGTGGTGTTAAACAACAAAGAGAAAAATCACGCTGCAATATTCCAGGTAATGGTGGCCTGTAAATTATCAACCGGACTATAGCAAACTATATTCTGTGGGTAAACCAGCGTTGAATGTAAGAAGTGTATGAATATGTTGTGTTTGTTGTTGCAGTGAGGACGGCAGGATGGACTACATGCACGAAGACCCGTACAGCGGCCACTACAACTCCAGTCCGGGAATGGGCTACGGAGGCGGGAACTATGGCAACCCCAACATGTCGTACGACCGAGAACACTCCCCACATGGCTCCCACGTGTCTCTGCAGAGTGCTGGCAGCAACCGGGGCCGCCAGACTAAAGTAGGTCCAGTATGTCGACAGTGTGTGACAGTGCACAGTGTGACAGTGCTCAACTGATTGATACGTCTGTAGATTATTGTTTGATGAAAGTGGTGTGAAGGTTTGTTTCCTGTGTTATTCCTGTTATGATGCCAGATAATGGTTTCTCCAGGACTGCTTGAGATCTCACTTTTATCATCCCAACCTGGCGCGTGAACTAGAGGGACTAGTTGTTTTCCCCAAATCTAGTTATGTCACTATGTGGATTGGTTGGTTTAACCTCTGGTGTTTTCTGCTTTATCAACTTGGGTTGATATGTTTGACATCGAAATAAAGTCAGGTGATATTCTCCGACTGCCATGAAGGGCGGTCGGGTAGCCTAGTGGTTAAAGCATTCGCTCATCATGCTGAAGACCCTGGTTCGATTCCCCACATGGGTACAATGTGTGAATCCCATTTCTGGTGTACCTCACCATGATATAGTTAGAATATTGCCAGACGCATTGTAAAACAATACTCTCTCGCTCTGTGTGCAGGTGCCGACTGTGTCCCGTATCATCGCCAGTGAGGAGTTGGGTCCCCGCGGATCACTCAGCTCCCTGCCCCAGGAACAGCAGAACGGCAACTATGCCACGTACCAGTCCATCAGCCGCCACGGAGACGGGATCCGCGGCTCACCGCTCCCGAGGTCAGCATCCCCGCAAGGCCTTGACCCTAGGTTTTCGTCCAGTCATCTTCCTGAACACTTCCCCTCCGCACCTGCTCACTACGGCAGTTCGCCGCGGGGCAGTGTATCACGATATAGCAACGACTCACCAAATATTGATACTTACGATGGCTATGTGCAAAGGTATATAATCTGCTTGCTTCATACTAATCTTCACTGTTGATATGTTTGAACTGTCAATGAAACCGTAATTTGTAAACAAGAAAATGCATGTCAATATGCATTGTGATTTCAAACTGGTTCCAATATTTTTTAATGTACTAAAATATATACTGAAACACTTTGAAGATGCATATTCAATTTGTAGTATTGTCAAAATGGCAACAAATCAAATGAAGTTGTTCTGTTTATTGAGAAATGAAATGTCATCATTCAGATTCAAATCTCATTCGATTTGTTTCGAGCTGGCACCAAGATTTATGTGATGCCTGATGATGTGTTTTCATTGTGTGATGTATGATTTACACTTATCAACAGTGAATTCCTGGAATTGATTAAACGATAATATTTTCTGAATATTTATGTATAATTAAAGGTTTCTAAAACCGGACAAAACCATTTATCAAAAAGTGACAATACATTTGTTGTAAATTTCCAATTTCTTTCAATAATTGAACCTATTGGATCAGTAGGTTATTGAAGCAACTGGTTTAGCAGGTACATGGCCAACCATGTGACATGGGTCATGTGATGTGGGTCATGTGACGTGGTCACGTGACCTGACAGACCATGACTGTAACCTCAGCTTCTGCTGGTGAGGTCTTTCTCTCTTCTTGCTCTCTAGTTATCCTGCTCATCGACACATATGAAGGGGCATCATTATATACTAACACAACACACATTCCGTACTAACACAACACACATTCCGTACTAACGCAACACACATTCCGTACTAACACAACACACATTCCGTACTAACAGAACACACATTCCGTACTAACACAACACACATTCCGTACTAACACAACACACATTCCATACTAACAGAACACACATTCCGTACCAACACAACACACAGTCCGTACTAACACAACACACATTCCGTACTAACACAACACACAGTCCGTACTAACACAACACACATTCCGTACTAACACAACACACATTCCGTACTAACACAACACACATTTCTTACTAACACAACACACATTCCGTACTAACACAACACACATTCCGTACTAACACAACACACATTCCGTACTAACAGAACACACAGTCCGTACTAACACAACACACGTTCCGTACTAACACAACACACGTTCCGTACTAACACAACACACGTGTCGTACTAACAGAACACACATTCCGTACTAACACAACACACATTCCGTACTAACACAACACACGTGTCGTACTAACACAACCCATCTCACTCACTCTAACATTAAGCTGACATACTCAACCCATCTCACTCACTCTAACATAAAGGTGACATGCCATGACACAAGCAGTACTCAACCCATCTCACTCACTCTAACATTAAGCTGACATGCCATGACACAAGCAGTACTCGACCCATCTCACTCACTCTAACATAAAGGTGACATGCCATGACACAAGCAGTACTCGACCCATCTCACTCACTCTAACATAAAGGTGACATGCCATGACACAAGCAGTACTCAACCCATCTCACTCACTCTAACATTAAGGTTACATGCCATGACACAAGCAGTACTCAACCCATCTCACTCACTCTAACATGGGACACTGACTCACCACATCGCTGTCTATATATATAGCTTTTACTAGATCATTATTGCTGTCCTAGATTCCTTAATTTGAGCTGTTATTAATAGAGCAGTGTTTTATAGAGCTTTCTCAAGCAGTGTTTAATAGAGCTTCCTCAAGCAGTGTTTTATAGAGCTTCCTCAAGCAGTGTTGTGGTACCTTCTCGTTATTATATGGGATTTTAGGACAAGGCACTTTGGCCGAAGTTTGGAATTGAAGAAGATTAGACTATGTGTTGAAGAATCTTAGAAAATGTGAGAGAGGAATAATTTTTAATTTGTTTGTGAAAAAATCCCATGTAATAAAAATATTTTGCATACCCGATATTTTTTATAATAACATTGCTTATGGATATGTTGCTAATCAAATGTGAAATGAAAATATAAATATTGTTTCTGATAATTTATTCACTACAGGTACACCAGATGACAGGGTATTGAAGTTGTGTTAAATGTTATGATAATTATTCACCTCACCTTAATCATCCAAATATTCTTGAAAGAGTAAGCTAAATAACAGTTTTTAAAAAGTAATAATTAGTGATTATCAACATCTTTGAGAGATTACTACAGATTTTTGTAAAGATATTATGGATAAGAATGTTTTATCATTTGCATTTAAACAAGATGTCAGTATATTGTTGTTTTTCATATAGTACTTGATTTGTATTGAGGAGTATGTTGACCTCATGTGTATGACCTCATGCTGACCTCATGTCTTGACCTTATGCTGACCCTGTGTGTTGACCTCATCCATCGTGTTTCAGAGATCAGTACCCAGGCAGTAGAGGTAGTTACAACACGCCATCGGAGTTGGGCGCCCCTTACCGAGGCGGACAACCGACCTACGGGGATTACGATGACCGATACCCCGAACCACCCCTTCCATCAGACCCTTACAGGGAGATTCCGTTAGACGATTCCCAGCACCAGGCCTTGCCTCACGGTGACCCCTACAATGGAGGTCATCCAGACGAAATCAACAGATCATACGGAGATCCCCAGTACCGAGATCAGCCTTATGATGATGATGGTTACCGAGGACCTCCGCGCTATGATGAACACGATGCCTCTCGAGACGCTGATCCTCATTATGGAGGTCACCCCGACGACTCATTCAGAGGGCCCACCGAGGTACCGGGATACCGGAACAGTTACCAGGATCCTCCATACGACTCCTACGGGTCTCGACCGGGAGAAGATTATGGACATCTTCCCGAAACAGGAAATGAGCCTCAATATGGAGGCAGCTATCAAGGTCATCCAGATGACCCAAATACTGACCCCAATGACCCTCGGTTTAGGGAGAACTACCAGAACAATCCCGAGGATCCGTATGGAGATCGGCATGAAAACCCCTATGGGGGTTCGATAGGACCTCAAGGGGATGTGGATGACCCCCGATACCGGAATAGTTACCAAGGTCATCCAGATGACCCCTATGCTGATAGACCCGGTGACGATCCTGATTTGATCCGACGTATGCAAGGGTTGCCTCCCTTGAGGAAAGACCCGTTTGCCGATGATCCCTTCCAGGAGACTCGGAATGGAAGTTATCCCGGGCTCCGGCCCGGCGAGGAGGATCCGTACAACCGCGGACCGTCTCCGTCACAAGGTGAGGCCCTGCAGTAGCGGCTGGTTGCATGCGTTTGTATTCAGTATACTTTGTGTTGAGCTTTGTCTATTAGACACTCCATATCCATGCTTGTGGATTTTGCCAAGGTGTTAGACACTGCATCATCGGGGCAGCTGCATCTTCATGTTGAGCCCCAGACACGATTCAGACTTGAAGTGGTAAACACAGAATTGAGGATATAGTCTTTGGACCTGTGGAGATACGGGGTAGAATAGATCTTCAGCAACCCATGCTTGCCGTAAATGGTGAATATGCTTGTTGTAAGAGGCAGCTAACAGGATGTGGTGGCAGGATCGCTAACTTGGTTGATGCTTGTCATCGTATCCCAATTGCGTGGATTAATGCTCATGATGTCAATCACTTGATTGTCTGGTCCAGACTTGATTATTTACAGACCGCCTTCATATAGCTGGAATATTGCTGAGTGTGGCGTTAAACAACAAACAAACAAACAAACAAAACAAACATGCTCATGGGATTCAGCCCAGAGTTCATGGGATTCAGCCCCTTAAAAACATGTGGCATTGGAGTTTCATCAATCTGGGTGAGAGCGAGACATGCATATTGCATTGTTGACAGTTGTCCGAGTCAGTGTTGTCATTTAGAAAAACTGTTTGAAGCATGACGCTGGATGATGTGCATGAACCAGCATGTTACGTCATTAACAATGCTGAGTTTGCAAGATATGTAGATAGAAAGTTTTGTTTTCTCAATACTTATTTTACTTTTGCCTTACTACCTTCCTTTGTTTCTCATTTTTGCTCTGACTTTATATCCTAAAATGTGTTCCCATCGTTTCCATGGAAACTCTTTAGTAAGTAGCCCTACCTGTCCACCAACATAGAGAACCAAGTCCACCAATCCTGCCCAGCCCATAATGCTCACTAGGGAAGTTGGGGTTCTATTCCCAACATGGGTACAGTGAGCGATGACACACATTCTTGTTCCCCCCTCCAGAATCATTACAGTGAATATGGCTTACTTGTTCTTTTGAAGAAGCTAAACTTTCGACATGGAAATCAGAATTTTGTTAGTACATGATAACTTCCCCCACAACATCCAGGTCTTCAACACGGCTGGCTGCATGTATTGACAGTTGTGATCCAACCCCCACAACATCCAGGTCTTTAACACATGTATTGACAGTTGTGATCCAACCCCCACAACATCCAGGTCTTAAACACGGCTGGCTGCATGTATTGACAGTTGCGATCCAACCCCCACAACATCCAGGTCTTTAACACGGCTGGCTACATGTATTGACAGTTGTGATCCAACCCCCACAACATCCAGGTCTTAAACACGGCTGGCTGCATGTATTGACAGTTGTGATCCAACCCCACAACATCCAGGTCTTAAACACGGCTGGCTGCATGTATTGACAGTTGTGATCCAACCCCCACAACATCCAGGTCTTTAACACGGCTGGCTACATGTATTGACAGTTGTGATCCAACCCCCACAACATCCAGGTCTTTAACATGGCTGGCTACATGTATTGACAGTTGTGATCCAACCCCCACAACATCCAGGTCTTTAACACGGCTGGCTACATGTATTGACAGTTGTGATCCAACCCCCACAACATCCAGGTCTTAAACACGGCTGGCTGCATGTATTGACAGTTGTGATCCAACCCCCACAACATCCAGGTCTTAAACACGGCTGGCTACATGTATTGACAGTTGTGATCCAACCCCACAACATCCAGGTCTTTAACATGGCTGGCTACATGTATTGACAGTTGTGATCCAACCCCCACAACATCCAGGTCTTTAACACGGCTGGCTACATGTATTGACAGTTGTGATCCAAATACTTGACTAGCTAGGCCTAAATAATTCTAGGACCGGGACCCTCTCCATACGAGGATCGTGGGCCCCCCTTCCGAGATGAGTCTTACGATGACCGTGACGGCGGGCAGCCACCGTACGACTCCAGTGCTCCTCCACACTACGACTACAGCGACAGCCACGACTATCCCGACAAAACACCCCAGCCCTATTATCCAGAAGAAGATGTCCACAGAACTGAGGCTCCTGTTGCTTCAGCGCCACCTGTGAATGATTATAACTCTGAAGGGCGGAGAACTCCGACAGATAATCGGTCTGGATGTAAGTGAAATACAGGATACTTTCTCGACAAGTACAAAGCCCACGATGTCACAAGCAAATCTTTACGACTCATGTGATGAAGTTTTCCATGCAGTGACCTCCTTGTAGGACTGATCAAAGAACCTGAACTCGGCTTTCTTATTCTAGTTCTTATTTTACTTGTGGCATGAGATTTGTGCAGTGGTTGTGGCATGGTTTGTTTGACTGTTGTTTAGTTTGTTCAGTTCCAATAATGGTGTTTAGCGCTCAGTACTTGGTGCCTGTGATTGGATTGATTAATTTTATCATTTTTAAGAGAAAGAAGATTGTTGTTGTGAGGTGTGGGACCAGTCATTTATTACAGGGGTGGGTGGGTCAGAGGGAGTCAGGGAAGGGTCACAAAACATCTCACAGTCTACAAACATACACACATTTGGGGAAGGCCATGAAAAAAATGGACATTTTAAAAAGTGCTTTTGCATTTTTGCTTTTCAGGTAGGGTCATGAAAATAAGTGACAGACACTAGGAAAGGGTTGTTATATTCCGTACATTAGTGCATAAAAAAACCTTGATACCCCCTCCCAATGAAATAAATGACCGGTCCCTTAATTACATTTTAAGGTCTGTTTATATGTAAGTTTTTTTAGAAGTTACTAGCGGGGTAGAATAGGTCTTCAGCAACCCTTGCATTATAACAGGCGACTGGGCTTGTTGTAAGAAGCGACTAACAGGATTGGGTGGTCAGGCTCGCTGACTTTGTTGATGCATGTCATCATATCCTTTTTGTGTGGATCGATGCTCATGATATCAATCACTGGATTGTCTGGTCCATTATTCGATTATTTACAGATCGTCGTCATATTGTTTGAATATTGCTGAATGCAGCGTTAATAAAAAACAAACAAGCAAGAAAACAAACAAATCTTAGAAATTTCATGTTATGCAATATTTTTTAGTGAAAGACCATTTTTAATTTGTATTAGTGCTGAGTCATATCAGTGTTGGTAAAGTTCTTACTCTAGTTTGACATTTTGCCAGCATTCCGGTGGCGCAACCCTGACCTACAGGAAGTGATAGACTACTTGGGTCACCGTGACAACGATATCAAAGTCCATGCAGCCGCCTATCTCCAGCATCTCACCTTCATGGATGATGGAATCAAAGCAAAAACAAGGTGTGTAGTCGCTTCATCGGCATCAAGATTGACAGTGGTCTGCATGTCTCTATGCAGAGTTACATCCCTTAGGCATGGATGGATCTGCCAAACATGGGTTTGAATGGGTGGTGGGTTTGTCAGCTACATTCCCATGCTCAAGGGTTTATATCAGAGTTGTAAGCAAGAAGACCTTCGTCAATTTTAGGATCACTTCAGTTGGCCCATGGCCAGTTAAAATTATGAAAGGCTTGCTGAAACATAGATGTCCCATCTGTTTTCACAAAATTACACCCCTTCTCTATGTATGTTTAATTTTATTTATTTTGATTGGAGAATGCTTGTGAATCATGTTATTTCAATGGGAAAATATACAGTGGGGATGAGGCTGTGTGATGAGGCTGTGGGATGAGGCTGTGGGATGAGGCTGTGTGATGAGGCTGTGTGATGAGGCTGTGTGATGAGGCTGTGAGAACCGGCAGCCATTTATAAATATACATTGGGGATGAGGCTGTGTGATGAGGCTGTGTGATGAGGCTGTGTGATGAGGCTGTGGGATGAGGCTGTGTGATGAGGCTGTGTGATGAGGCTGTGGGATGAGGCTGTGGGATGAGGCTGAGGCTGTGTGATGAGGCTGTGTGATGAGGCTGAGGCTGTGTGATGAGGCTGTGTGATGAGGCTGTGTGATGAGGCTGTGGGATGAGGCTGAGTGATGAGGCTGTGTGATGAGGCTGTGTGATGAGGCTGTGTGATGAGGCTGTGTGATGAGGCTGTGGGATGAGGCTGAGGGATGAGGCTGTGGGATGAGGCTGTGGGATGAGGCTGTGTGATGAGGCTGTGAGAACCGGCAGCCATTTATAAATATACAGTGGGGATGAGGCTGTGTGATGAGGCTGTGGGAAGTGGCTGTGTGATGAGGCTGTGTGATGAGGCTGTGGGATGAGGCTGTGTGATGAGGCTGTGGGATGAGGCTGTGGGATGAGGCTGTGGGATGAGGCTGTGAGAACCGGCAGCCATTTTGTAATGTTCTATACAAAAACAACATCTCTATTTGATCGTAAAATTGCCACGAAATGATGCATGTCATCATATCCCAGTTGGTGTATCGATGCTCATGATGTCAGTCACTGGATTGTCTGGTCCAGACTTGATTATTTACAGACTGCTTTCAAATAGCTGGAATGTTGTTGAGTGCGGCGTAATCAACAAAAATATTTATCGTTTGAACATGGTCAGGGCACAGTTTATCAACCAGGATCGGCTGTTCTTGAATATGATACTTGGACTGTCACACTTTGTGGGTTCACCACAGTGGTGAGTGTCAAGTTGCTGACAGAAGATGACAAGACAGGTCATGTTTGACAGGGCACTGGGGTTAGGTGGTTTGGTGGTGAAAGTGTTTGCTTCACAAAACGTTCTCCATAAAACAGAGTGCCTCCGTGGTCTAGTGGTAGAGTGTCCGCCGGGAGAGCGGAAGGTCCGGGGTTCGATCCCTGGCCGCGTCATACCAAAAGACGTTAAAAGATGGTACTTGTTGTTACCCTGTCTGGCGCTCGGCATTAAGGGGCTAAAACAAGGACTGGTCGGCTCGGAGTCAATATACTGTGTCTGAGTTGGGTATTCATGTTAAACTGCGGCATGGTATCTCAGTGAGCTAGCACTATAAATCGGCATCCGTCTGGACTAGTACAAGCAGCCACACACATACGTGCATGCACGTCGCTATATCAGTGCAATAAACTTGGACGCGACGTTAAAACCAATTTCACCTCACTTCACCTCTCCATAAAACATCACTCACAACAATGATTTATATGTTGACGCTGATGTTTACAGTGATGATGATGTTGATGATGTTGTTGACAGAGGCCTTGATGGAATCCGTCCCCTGATCCAGCTGCTGAGCAATGACTTCCCCGAGGTCCACAAGGCAGCGTGTGGAGCCCTGCAGAACCTGTCCTACGGCCGGACCAACGATGAGAACAAGGTGGGTGTTCATGGAATAGATCCAGGTGATCTCATAATGGAGCTTGATGTCAATGTAATGTATCCTTGTGTGGACATGTTTGATCTGTGTGTCCACGTAATTGATCCGGGTGTCCACGTCATGGATCCGGTTGTCCACGTCATGGATCCGGGTGTCCACGTCATGGATCCGGGTGTCCTCATAATGGAACCGGGTGTCCACGTGATGGATCCGGGTGTCCACGTGATGGATCCGGGTGTCCACGTCATGGATCCGGTTGTCCACGTGATGGATCCGGGTGTCCACGTGATGGATCCGGTTGTCCACGTGATGGATCCGGGTGTCCACGTGATGGATCCGGGTGTCCACGTGATGGATCCGGGTGTCCACGTGATGGATCCGGGTGTCCACGTGATGGATACGGGTGTCCTCGTGATGGATCCTGGTGTCCACGTCATGGATACGGGTGTCCACGTAATGGAGCTTTCAATCATATGAATCTGAAGACCCAGGTCTGATTCCCCTCACAGGTAGACAGGAAACATCCTTGGTATCCATTGTGAAATACAGCTGAAATATTGCTTCGAGTTACTGAGATTGTTTGACTGTTATTTGTCGGTATCTGATTGAACCTCGGACTTGTGACAGTATATGACTTCTGGCGGATTAGATGAAGTTGTCCACATGCCTGTCTTCTTGTCTAAGAGGATAATTCCTAATTAATAATCTGATTCCACACAAACTTGTAGACTCTGACTTATTTCCTTATCATTATGGCCTTAAGCCAGGTATCAGTCCAGCCCTCATGTCCTTGTTCTGCCCTCATGTCCTTGTTCTGCCCTCATGTCCTTGTTCTGCCCCTCATGTCCTTGTTCTGCCCCTCATGTCCTTGTTCTGCCCTCATGTCCTTGTTCTGCCCCTCGTGTCCTTGTTCTGCCCCTCATGTCCTTGTTCTGCCCTCATGTCCTTGTTCTGCCCCTCATGTCCTTGTTCTGCCCCTCGTGTCCTTGTTCTGCCCTCATGTCTTGTTCTGCCCCTCATGTCCTTGTTCTGCCCCTCGTGTCCTTGTTCTGCCCCTCGTGTCCTTGTTCTGCCCCCATGTCCTTGTTCTGCCCCTCATGTCCTTGTTCTGCCCCTCATGTCCTTGTTCTGCCCCTCGTGTCCTTGTTCTGCCCCTCATGTCCTTGTTCTGCCCCTCATTCCTTGTTCTGCCCCTCATGTCCTTGTTCTGCCCCTCATGTCCTTGTTCTGCCCCTCGTGTCCTTGTTCTGCCCCTCGTGTCCTTGTTCTGCCCCTCATGTCTTGTTCTGCCCCTCGTGTCCTTGTTCTGCCCCTCGTGTCCTTGTTCTGCCCCTCGTGTCCTTGTTCTGCCCCTCGTGTCCTTGTTCTGCCCCTCATGTCCTTGTTCTGCCCCTCATGTCCTTGTTCTGCCCCTCATGTCCTTGTTCTGCCCCTCGTGTCCTTGTTCTGCCCCTCATGTCCTTGTTCTGCCCCACAGAAAGCAATCCGTAACGAGGGCGGCATCCCGGAACTCATCCGACTCCTGCGGAAGTCTCACGAAGACGATGTGCGGGAGTCTGTCACGGGCGTGTTGTGGAACCTCTCGTCATGTGAGGTAAGGTCATCATGTCAAGGTCACTCTGTAAATGTACTTGTTGAGAAAATATCAGTTGAATGAATTACAATTACAATCTTCAGTAATGAAGCTGGTTGTGCTCAAATGACAGTTTAAGACAATAGAGTTTGGGTGATCCACTGACAGTTTAAGACAGTGGAGTTTGGGTGATCCACTGACAGTTTAAGACAGTGGAGTTTGGGTGATCCACTGACAGTTTAAGACAGTGGAGTTTGGGTGATCCACTGACAGTTTAAGACAATGGAGTTTTGGTGATCCACTGACAGTTTAAGACAATGGAGTTTGGGTGATCCACTGACAGTTTAAGACAGTAGAGTTTGGGTGATCCACTGACAGTTTAAGACAGTAGAGTTTGGGTGATCCACTGACAGTTTAAGACAGTAGAGTTTGGGTGATCCACTGACAGTTTAGGACAATAGAGTTTGGGTGATCCACTGACAGTTTAAGACAATAGAGTTTGGGTGATCCACTGACAGTTTAAGACAATAGAGTTTGGGTGATCCACTGACAGTTTAAGACAGTAGAGTTTGGGTGATCCACTGACAGTTTAAGACAATGGAGTTTGGGTGATCCACTGACAGTTTAAGACAATGGAGTTTGGGTGATCCACTGACAGTTTAAGACAGTGGAGATTGGGTGATCCACTGACAGTTTAAGACAATGGAGTTTGGGTGATCCACTGACAGTTTAAGACAGTGGAGTTTGGGTGATCCACTGACAGTTTAAGACAATAGAGTTTGGGTGATCCACTGACAGTTTAAGACAATAGAGTTTGGGTGATCCACTGACAGTTTAAGACAATAGAGTTTGGGTGATCCACTGACAGTTTAAGACAATAGAGTTTGGGTGATCCACTGACAGTTTAAGACAATGGAGTTTGGGTGATCCACTGACAGTTTAAGACAGTAGAGTTTGGGTGATCCACTGACAGTTTAAGACAATTCATCTCATGTACCTCAGTCTGTTTGTTGTCTTGTTTCAGGAGCTAAAGAAGCCTATAATCGATGATGGTTTAGCAGTAATTGTGAATGTAGTTATAATTCCACACTCGGGGATGGACCGGACGGGGGCAACGCCGTACCGGGACCACGAACCCTGGACCACAACGTTCCGGAACGCCACGGGGGTGCTTCGGTAAGACATACACATCTGGGGCCTCACGGGGCGGGGGCCTGTGTTAGAATAGGTCCCTCTACTACAGGATTGCTGTCCTGCTTCTGAGAGGGGTGGAATAGCCGAGTAGTTAACAAACGCCTATTGCCTTCATGCAAAGTGAAGTTGTTGAGCAGGTCGAGGGGGATATTTTGTTAGGGTACAAATGTTCGTGATGACGTGTGAGAGTCTGGTCCATCTTGACATGATGTCTGATTTGTCCAGGAACGTCAGCTCAGCTGGGTTTGATGCCAGGAAGAAAATCCGAGAGTGTCGCGGCCTCGTCAAGGCGCTGATCCACACCCTGAAGATCGCAACAGAAGGAGATATGGACAATAAGCCTGTGGAGAACGTTGTCTGTATTCTCAGGAATCTCTCATACAGGATCCAAGAAATTGAAGATCCTGACTTCTACAAGAAGAGGACGTTACCACGGAACCGAGCTCCGCCAGAGAAAGGTACATGCAGATTGAGATACCTGATGGGGGGTGAGGTAGCCTAGTAGTTAAGGCATTTGCTTGTCGTGCCGAAGACCCGGTTTTGATTCCCTACATGGATACAATGTGTGAAGCCCATTTCTGGTGTTCCCCGCCATGATATTGCTGAAATATTGCTAAAAGCGGCGTAAAACCATACACACTCACTCATTAACCTGATGCCCCATGGAGATTCTTGGTTACAATTGGTCTGCGGCAACCTTTGCTGTCGTAAGTTGGTTACCTAATGAATTGCATGTCATCGTAACCCGATAACTCGATGGAGTGGTTCGATGCTCATGATATCAATCACTGGATTGTCTTTTCCAGATTCTATGTATTTTATGTCTGAGTGCAGTGTTAAGCAACAAGCACACAATCATTAAGGTAGCATGTAAGTGTGGCCGTACTCACTCACTCTCTGAGCCCCTCATTGACCTTGACCTTGACCTTGTGAAGCAGGTGACAGTACGGGATGCTTCGGTGGCGGAGGCAAGAACAAGAAAGGTGTACAGAAGAAGGGAGGAAATGAACCCAACAGTCCGAATCAAAAGTAAGTACTCCCACACATCCACAGTGCCTTCAGTAACATTATCAGGTGTCAGGGATGTTCACATTTATCAGACCCGTGAAGATCCGGGGTAGAATAGGTCTTCAGCAACCCATGCTTGCCGTAAAGGGCTACTATGCCTACTGACGCGATCGGGCTTGCTGTTAAGCAACAAACAAAGACAATTAATTATTTGTTTGTTCATTTGAATTTGAATCTTTGCTCTTATGATTTTGATCTTAAAATATTTGTTTCATTCTTGATGCCACCAAAATGTTTTATGTGGATGGGTTTATCAATATCAGGGATCAGTCCATATTTCCTGGTTCAGTTTATCAATATCAGGGATCTGTACAGTTTACGTGACTCATGCAGGAGACATGTAGATAATGTTGGTGTCACAGTAGTTCCGGCAGCCTCCATGTAGTGGTGTAGTGTAGTGTAGTGGTGTAGTGGTGTAGTGTAGTGTAGTGTAGTGGTGTAGTGTAGTGGTGTAGTGGTGTAGTGGAGTGGTGGAGTGTAGTGGTGTAGTGGTGTGGTGTAGTGGTGTGGTGTAGTGGAGCGGTGTAGTGGAGCGGTGTGGTGTAGTGGTGTGGTGTGGTTGAGCGGTGTAGTGGAGCGGTGTAGTGGAGCGGTGTAGTGGTGTAGTGTAGTGGAGTGTAGTGGTGTAGTGTAGTGGAGCGGTGTAGTGGAGCGGTGTAGTGGAGCGGTGTAGTGGTGTAGTGTAGTGGTGTAGTGTAGTGGTGTAGTGTAGTGGAGCGGTGTAGTGGAGCGGTGTAGTGGTGTAGTGTAGTGGTGTAGTGTAGTGGAGCGGTGTAGTGGAGCGGTGTGGTGGAGCGGTGTGGTGGAGCGGTGTGGTGTAGTGGTGTGGTGTAGTGGAGCGGTGTAGTGGAGCGGTGTAGTGGAGCGGTGTGGTGGAGCGGTGTAGTGGTGTAGTGTAGTGGTGTAGTGTAGTGGAGCGGTGTAGTGGAGCGGTGTAGTGGTGTAGTGGTGTAGTGTAGTGGTGTAGTGTAGTGGAGCGGTGTAGTGGAGCAGTGTAGTGGAGCGGTGTAGTGGAGCGGTGTAGTGGAGCGGTGTAGTGGTGTAGTGTAGTGGTGTAGTGTAGTGGTGTAGTGTAGTGGAGCGGTGTAGTGGAGCGGTGTAGTGGAGCGGTGTAGTGGTGTAGTGTAGTGGAGCGGTGTAGTGGAGCGGTGTAGTGGAGCGGTGTGGTGTAGTGGTGTGGTGTAGTGGAGCGGTGGAGTGGAGCGGTGAAGTGGAGCGGTGTAGTGGAGTGGTGTGGTGTAGTGGAGCGGTGTAGTGGTGTGGTGTAGTGTAGTAGAGTGGTGTAGTGGAGTGGTGTAGTGGAGTGGAGTGGCGTAGTGGAGCGGTGAAGTGGTGTAGTGGTGTGGTGTAGTGGAGTGGAGTGGTGTAGTGGAGCGGTGTGGTGTAGTGGAGCGGTGTAGTGGAGTGGTGTGGTGTAGTGGAGCGGTGTAGTGGTGTGGTGTAGTGGAGTGGAGTGGTGTAGTGGAGTGGCGTAGTGGAGTGCAATGGCGTAGTGGAGCGGTGAAGTGGTGTAGTGGTGTGGTGGAGTGGAGTGGAGTGGTGTAGTGGAGTGGAGTGGTGTAGTGGAGCGGTGTAGTGGAGTGGAGTGGCGTAGTGGAGCCGTGTAGTGGTGTAGTGGTGTGGTGTAGTGGAGTGGAGTGGTGTAGTGGAGCGGTGTAGTGGAGCGGTGTGGTGGTGTGGTGTAGTGGAGTGGTGTAGTGTAGTGGTGTAGTGTAGTGGAGCGGTGTAGTGGAGCGGTGTAGTGGAGTGGTGTAGTGTAGTGTAGTGTAGTGGTGTGGTGGTGTGGTGTAGTGGAGTGGTGTAGTGGAGTGGTGTAGTGGAGTGGCGTAGTGGAGCGGCGTAGTGGAGTGGTGTAGTGGAGTGGCGTAGTGGAGCGGTGTAGTGGTGTAGTGGAGTGGAGTATTGGAGTAGTGGAGTGGAGTGGCGTAGTGGAGTGGTGTAGTGGAGAGGAGAGGAGTGGTGTAGTGGAGTGGTGTAGTGGAGAGGAGTGGTGTAGTGGAGAGGAGTGGTGTAGTGGAGAGGAGTGGTGGAGTGGTGTAGTGGAGTGGTGTAGTGGAGTGGTGTAGTGTAGTGGTGTAGTGTAGTGGAGCGGTGTAGTGGAGCGGTGTAGTGGAGAGGAGTGGTGTAGTGGAGAGGAGCGGTGTAGTGGAGTGGTGTAGTGGAGAGGAGTGGTGGAGTGGTGTAGTGGAGTGGTGTAGTGGAGAGGAGTGGTGTAGTGTAGTGGTGTAGTGTAGTGGTGCGGTGTAGTGGAGCGGTGTAGTGGAGAGGAGTGGTGTAGCGGAGAGGAGTGGTGTAGTGGAGAGGAGTGGTGTAGTGGAGTGGTGTAGTGGAGTGGTGTAGTGTAGTGGAGTGGTGTAGTGTAGTGGAGAGGAGTGGTGGAGTGGTGTAGTGGAGTGGTGTAGTGTAGTGGAGTGGTGTAGTGTAGTGGTGTAGTGTAGTGGAGCGGTGTAGTGGAGAGGAGTGGTGTAGTGGAGTGGTGTAGTGGAGTGGTGTAGTGGAGAGGAGTGGTGGAGTGGTGTAGTGGAGTGGTGTAGTGGAGAGGAGTGGTGTAGTGGAGTGGTGTAGTGGAGTGGAGCGGTGTAGTGGAGTGGAGTGGCGTAGTGGAGCCGTGTAGTGGTGTAGTGGTGTGGTGTAGTGGAGTGGAGCGGTGTAGTGGAGCAGTGTGGTGTAGTGGAGCGGTGTAGTGGTGTGGTGTAGTGTAGTAGAGTGGTGTAGTGGAGTGGTGTAGTGGAGTGGAGTGGCGTAGTGGAGCGGTGAAGTGGTGTAGTGGTGTGTAGTGGAGTGGAGTGGAGTGGTGTAGTGGAGCGGTGTAGTGGAGTGGTGTGGTGTAGTGGAGCGGTGTAGTGGAGTGGTGTGGTGTAGTGGAGCGGTGTAGTGGTGTGGTGTAGTGGAGTGGAGTAGTGGAGTGGTGTAGTGGAGTGGAGTGGCGTAGTGGAGCGGTGAAGTGGTGTAGTGGTGTGGTGTAGTGGAGTGGAGTGGTGTAGTGGAGAGGAGTGGTGTAGTGGAGCGGTGTAGTGGAGTGGAGTGGCGTAGTGGAGCCGTGTAGTGGTGTAGTGGTGTGGTGGTGTGGTGTAGTGGAGTGGAGTGGAGTGGTGTAGTGGAGCGGTGGAGTGGTGTGGTGTAGTGGAGCGGTGTAGTGGTGTGGTGTAGTGGAGTGGAGTGGTGTAGTGGAGTGGTGTAGTGGAGTGGTGTAGTGGAGTGGAGCGGCGTAGTGGAGCGGTGTAGTGGTGTGGTGGAGTGGAGTGGTGTAGTGGAGAGGAGTGGTGTAGTGTAGAGGAGTGGTGTAGTGGAGAGGTGTAGTGGAGTGGTGTAGTGGAGAGGAGTGGTGTAGTGGAGTGGTGTAGTGGAGAGGAGTGGTGGAGTGGAGTGGTGTAGTGGAGTGGAGTGGCGTAGTGGAGCGGTGTAGTGGAGAGGAGTGGTGTAGTGGAGAGGAGTGGTGTAGTGGAGTAGTGGAGTGGTGTAGTGGAGTGGTGTAGTGGAGTGGAGTGGTGTAGTGGAGAGGAATGGTGTAGTGGAGAGGAGTGGTGTAGTGGAGTGGTGTAGTGGAGTGGAGTGGCGTAGTGGAGCGGTGTAGTGGTGTGGTGGTGTGGTGTAGTGGAGTGGAGTGGCGTAGTGGAGCGGTGTAGTGGAGAGGAGTGGTGTAGTGGAGAGGAGTGGTGTAGTGGAGTGGAGTGGTGTAGTGGAGAGGAGTGGTGGAGTGGAGTGGTGTAGTGGAGTGGAGTGGCGTAGTGGAGCGGTGTAGTGGAGAGGAGTGGTGTAGTGGAGTGGTGTAGTGGAGTGGTGTGGTGTAGTGGAGAGGAATGGTGTAGTGGAGAGGAGTGGTGTAGTGGAGAGGAGTGGTGTAGTGGAGTGGTGTGGTGGAGTGGAGTAGTGTAGTGGAGTAGTGTAGTGGAGCGGTGTAGTGGAGTGGAGCGGTGTAGTGGTGTAGTGGTGTGGTGTGGTGGAGTGTAGTGGAGCGGTGTAGTGGAGCGGTGTAGTGGAGTGGTGTAGTGGAGTGGAGTGGTGTAGTGGTGTGGTGGAGTGGAGTGGTGTAGTGGAGTGGTGTAGTGGAGTGGCGTGGTGTAGTGTAGTGGAGTGGAGTGGAGTGGAGTGGAGTGGTGGGGTGGACAGAGTGTGTGCCATGACTCACATGTTGATCCCCATTTCTCCTGACGTTTGTGTTGTTTCCCGTGCAGGACCCAGCCCACATTCCCTCAGACTGCCATCGAGTACAAGGGGCTGTGGTGTAGTGTTGTGTAGTGTAGTGTAGTGTAGTGTAGTGAAGCAGTGGAGTGGAGCGGCGTAGTGGACAGAGTGTGTGCCATGACTCACATGTTGATCCCCATTTCTCCTGACGTTTGTGTTGTTTCCCGTGCAGGACCCAGCCCACATTCCCTCAGACTGCCATCGAGTACAAGGGGCTGTGGTGTAGTGTTGTGTAGTGTAGTGTAGTGTAGTGTAGTGAAGCAGTGGAGTGGAGCGGCGTAGTGGACAGAGTGTGTGCCATGACTCACATGTTGATCCCCATTTCTCCTGACGTTTGTGTTGTTTCCCGTGCAGGACCCAGCCCACATTCCCTCAGACTGCCATCGAGTACAAGGGGCTGTGGTGTAGTGTTGTGTAGTGTAGTGTAGTGTAGTGTAGTGAAGCAGTGGAGTGGAGCGGCGTAGTGGACAGAGTGTGTGCCATGACTCACATGTTGATCCCCATTTCTCCTGACGTTTGTGTTGTTTCCCGTGCAGGACCCAGCCCACATTCCCTCAGACTGCCATCGAGTACAAGGGGCTGTGGGGAGCGGACGTCGTCCACCTCGACTCACTGCTGCTCAAGAATGCATCCAACCCTGTCACACTGGAGGCAGCTGCTGGTGCCATACAGAATCTGACTGCTTGCGACTGGCAGGTAGGTTTCCTTACAGAATCTGACTGCATCGACTGTCACATGAGTTGCCATACAGAATCTGACTGCAAACAACCCTCACGTGAGTCGCCATACAGAATCTGACTGCAAATGACCCTCATGTGAGTTGCCATACAGAATCTGACTGCAAATGACCCTCACGTGAGTCGCCATACAGAATCTGACTGCAAACGACCCTCACGTGAGTCGCCATACAGAATCTGAGTGCAAACGACCCTCATGTGAGTCGCCATACAGAATCTGACTGCAAACGACCTTCATGTGAGTCTCCATACAGAATCTGACTGCAAACGACCCTCATGTGAGTCGCCATACAGAATCTGACTGCAAACTACCCTCACGTGAGTCGCCATACAGAATCTGACTGCAAACGACCCTCACGTGAGTCGCCATACAGAATCTGACTGCAAACGTCCCTCACGTGAGTCGCCATACAGAACCTGACTGCAAACGACCCTCATGTGAGTCGCCATACAGAATCTGACTGCATGTTTCTAATACCGGCCCACTCACACATTACTTGTACTTTCAGCCGGCTGTGGACATCCGAGCCCTCGTACGGAAGGAGAAGGGTCTCCCGAATCTCGTGGACTTGCTGACCTTTGAGAACGACCGTGTGGTATGTGCAGCCGCGACAGCCCTGCGAAATCTGGCCATCGACGAACGCAATAAAGAACTTGTTGGTAAGACAATGAAACTAAGAAATAGCAAGATGATCAACATGTAGGTAAATATGCCCTGTTTTGTCCCCAGGTAAATATGCCCTGTTTTGTCCCCAGATAAATATGCCCTGTCTTCACACCAGGTAAATATGCCCTGTTTTGTCCCCAGGTAAATACTCCCTGTTTTGTCCCCAGGTAAATATGCCCTGTTTTGTCCCCAGATAAATATGCCCTGTCTTCACACCAGGTAAATATGCCCTGTTTTGTCCCCAGGTAAATATGCCCTGTTTTGTCCCCAGATAAATATGCCCTGTCTTCACACCAGGTAAATATGCCCTGTTTTGTCCCCAGGTAAATACACCCTGTTTTGTCCCCAGGTAAATATGCCGTGTTTTGTCCCCAGGTAGATATGCCCTGTTTTGTCCCCAGGTAAATACTCCCTGTTTTGTTCCCAGATAGATATGCCCTGTCTTCACACCAGGTAAATACTCCCAGTTTTGTCCCCAGGTAAATATGCCCTGTTTTGTCTCCAGGTAAATACTCCCTGTTTTGTCCCCAGGTAAATATGCCCTGTCTTCACACCAGGTAAATATGCCCTGTTTTGTCCCCAGGTAAATATGCCATGCAACAGCTGGTGAGGAAACTTCCCGCACATCGGCAGATGCCGGGTCCGGTGGCGCCGGACGACACATTATGTGCTGTCATAGCAACGCTGTATGAGGTCATAAAAAATAATCAAGATTTTGCACTGTAAGTTTTATTAGCTTATACACCTTATACACACCTTATACACCTTATACACCTTATACACTTACCATTCCCACATGCGATGAACTGGCTCACATTAGGAGCTGTAGCAATACAATGGGCTTAGACTTGATCAAGGCGTTTACATGTAGAAGAAAATGATGATGAGTTTCTTCTATGGCACCAACTGTGGCCATTGTTGCCGATATATGGAACAAAGTGAAAGATGCATGAGGTCACTTCCTGTGCTACTACAACAAGTCACTCCCTGGTGACTGTATGTAGTGTACACAGATAGCTTACATGCAAAACATAAGAGAATGGTGGATACAGTAATGTTTTAAACGAACACACTTATAACCCACTAATGCTTGCTGTTTGATGCTTGCTGTTTGATGTTCGCTGTTTGATGCTTGCTGTTTGATGCTTGCTGTTTGATGCCCGCTGTGTTGCTGTCTGCTAATGTCTGCCTGTTGTTTCCAGGTCGTTGATGACTGAAAACGGCATTCCACGCCTTCTGAACATCACCAAGTCAGAAAACCAGTACCTTGCCCGAACTGTCAAATACGCACACACGGTAGGCACTATACTCAGTGTTAGCAGTCCCCCAGTGTGATTCAACCAGGACCCCTGTTGTAAGAGCCCTATAGTGTTAGCAGTGCCCCTGCCCCAGGGGGATTCAACCAGGACCCCTGTTGTAAGAGCCCTATAGTGTTAGCAGTGCTCCTACCCCAGGGGAATTCAACCAGGACCCCTGTTGTAAGAGCCCTATAGTGTTAGCAGTGCCCCTGCCCCAGGGGAATTCAACCAGGACCCCTGTTGTAAGAGCCCTATAGTGTTAGCAGTGCCCCTACCCCAGTGGGATTTAACCAGAGCCCCTGATGTAAGAGCCCTATAGTGTTAGCAGTCCCCCAGTGGGATTCAACCAGGACCCCTGTTGTAAGAGCCCTATAGTGTTAGCAGTGCCCCTGCCCCAGGGGGATAACCAGGACCCCTGTTGTAAGAGCCCTATAGTGTTAGCAGTGCCCCTGCCCCAAGGGAATTCAACCAGAGCCCCTGTTGTAAGAGCCCTACAGTGTTAGCAGTGCCCCTGCCCCAGGGGAATTCAACCAGGACCCCTGTTGTAAGAGACCTATAGTGTTAGCAGTGCCCCTACCCCAGTGGGATTTAACCAGAGCCCCTGATGTAAGAGCCCTATAGTGTTAGCAGTGCCCCTGCCCCAGGGGAATTCAACCAGGACCCCTGTTGTAAGAGCCCTATAGTGTTAGCAGTGCCCCTGCCCCAGGGGGATTCAACCAGGACCCCTGTTGTAAGAGCCCTATAGTGTTAGCAGTCCCCCTGCCCCAGGGGAATTCAACCAGAGCCCCTGTTTTAAGAGCCCTATAGTGTTAGCTGTACCCCTGCCCCAGGGGGATAACCAGAGCTCCTGTTGTAAGAGCCCTATAGTGTTAGCAGTGCCCCTGCCCCAGGGGGATAACCAGAGCCCCTGTTGTAAGAGCCCTATAGTGTTAGCAGTGCCCCTGCCCCAGGGGAATTCAACCAGAGCCCCTGTTTTAAGAGCCCTATAGTGTTAGCAGTGCCCCTGCCCCAGGGGGATTACCAGAGCCCCTGTTGTAAGAGCCCTATAGTGTTAGCAGTGCCCCTGCCCCAGGGGAATTCAACCAGAGCCCCTGTTGTAAGAGCCCTATAGTGTTAGCAGAGCCCCTGCCCCAGGGGAATTCAACCAGAGCCCCTGTTGTAAGAGCCCTATAGTGTTAGCAGTGCCCCTGCCCCAGGGGGATAACCAGAGCCCCTGTTTTAAGAGCCCTATAGTGTTAGCAGTGCCCCTACCCCAGTGGGATTTAACCAGAGCCCCTGTTGTAAGAGCCCTATAGTGTTAGCAGTGCCCCTGCCACAGGGGAATTTCACCAGAGCCCCTGTTGTAAGAGCCCTATAGTGTTAGCAGTGCCCCTACCCCAGTGGGATTCAACCAGGATCCCTGTTGTAAGAGCCCTATAGTGTTAGCAGTCCCCCTGCCCCAGTGGGATTTAACCAGGATCCCTGTTGTAACAGCCCTATAGTGTTAGCAGTGCCCCTGCCCCAGGGGAATTTAACCAGAGCCCCTGTTGGTAAGAGCCCTATAGTGTTAGCAGAGCCCCTACCCCAGGGGAATTTCACCAGAGCCCCTGTTGTAAGAGCCCTATAGTGTTAGCAGTCCCCCTGCCCCAGTGGGATTCAACCAGGACCCCTGTTGTAAGAGCCCTATAGTGTTAGCAGTCCCCCTGCCCCAGGGGAATTCAACCAGGACCCCTGTTGTAAGAGCCCTATAGTGTTGATTCCCAACATGGGTACAATGTGTGAAGCCCATTTCTGGTGTCCCCTGCAATGATATTGCTTGAATATTGCTTCAAAAAAGTGTAATACAATACTCACTCCCTTCTCACAGATTTAAGGCTGTTTAACGATGCTGAACTGTAGGTTGGATCTGCTTGTGATGCAGGTGATGCGGACGATGTGGACATTCCGAGCCCTGCATCCAGAGTACTCCCGGATGGGGCTCACGGAGAAGGACTTCCTGATGTTCACAGCTGCTTGCAGGTACATGACAGACCTTATGGCAACATGACAGACCTCATGGCAACATGACAGACCTCATGGCAACATGACAGACCTCATGGCAACATGACAGACCTCATTGCAAAATGACAGACCTCATGGCAACATGACAGACCTCATGGCAACATGACGGAGCTCATGGCAACATGACAGACCTCATGGCAACATGACAGACCTCATGGCAACATGACAGACCTCATAGCAAAATGACGGAGCTCATGGCAACATGACAGACCTCATGGCAACATGACAGACCTCATACCAACATGACAGACCTCATGTCAACATGACAGACCTCATACCAACATGACAGACCTCATGTCAACATGACAGACCTCATGGCAATATGACAGACCACCTGGCAAAATGACAGACCTCATGGCAACATGACAGACCTCATGGCAACATGTCAGACTGTATGGCAACATGGCAGACCACCTGGCAACATGACAGACCTCATACCAACATGACAGACCGCATGCCAACGTGTCAGACTGTATGGCAACATGACAGACCTCATGTCAACATGACAGACCTCATGTCAACATGACAGACCTCATGGCAACATGACAGACCTCATGTCAATATGACAGACCTCATGTCAATATGACAGACGTCATGGCAACATGACAGACCTCATGGCAATATGACAGACCTCATGGCAATATGACAGACCTCATGGCAACATGACAGACCTCATGGCAACATGTCAGACTGTATGGCAACATGACAGACCACCTGGCAACATGACAGACCTCATACCAACATGACAGACCGCATGCCAACATGTCAGACTGTATGGCAACATGACAGACCTCATGTCAACATGACAGACCTCATGGCAACATGACAGACCTCATGTCAATATGACAGACCTCATGGCAACATGACAGACCTCATGGCAACATGACAGACCTCATGGCAACATGACAGACCTCATGGCAACATGACAGACCTCATGGCAACATGACAGACCTCATGTCAATATGACAGACCTCATGGCAACATGACAGACCTCATGGCAACATGACAGACCTCATGTCAATATGACAGACCTCATGGCAACATGACAGACCTCATGGCAACATGACAGACCTCATGGCAACATGACAGACCTCATGCCAACATGACAGACAGCAAGACACATGACATGACTGCATGCCAACAACATTATGTGACAATATTGTATATTGATTGTCTAAGCCCTGGTGTTAGGCGATTGTTAAGAGTGCTGAATCACAGACTGTGTGTATTTGTGATCCTCGGAGTGCGGAGCAGAGATGCCCCCGGTGTTGTCACAATGGGCGGCCATTTCCAGGCACTCGTCTCAAGCCAGTAACATGACCCGTGAAGATCTGGGGTAGAATAGGTCTTCAGCAACCCATGCTTGCTGTAAAAGGCGACTATGCTTGTCGTAAGAGGCGACTGACGGGATCTGGTGGTCAAGGCTTGCTGACTTGGTTGATGCATGTCATGTGTCCCAATTATGTCAATCACTGGATTGTCTGGTCCAGACTTGATTATGTACTACCATCATATTGCTGTAATATTGCTGAGTGCGGTGTTAAACAACAAACAAACAAACATGCCAGCAACGTGTAATCGTTGGTACCCTGGTCACTCTGAGTGTTTCTGGGTTTCAACAGTGTAGTAAACATCTAAGACCTCAATCACTGAGGGTGTTTTTCCCACATCAAAGTGACACACATTTGGGCTCACAGTTTTGTTTCTATTCCACGTTTCAGAGCGGAGGGCTCAAAGTACAGCAACTTAAGCAGTAGTGTGAGTCCCGTGGCCAGTAACCATACCACCCCATACAACACGCTAAACAGACCAATCAGTGCTCAGGGTTATGATGACAACACGCTGTCTCCGGGACGACCGTTGCAGAAGCGTCCTAACAACAGCAACGATCACAGTCACAATGAGGCTGATGGCTACTTCTCAATGAACCAGAGCCACTCACATCTAAATGATCACGGTAATATCAATATGATCACGGTAATATCAATAAGATCACGGTAATATCAATATGATCACGGTAATATCAATATGATCACGGTAATATCAATGAGATCACGGTAATATCAATATGATCACGGTAATATCAATAAGATCATGGTAATATCAATAAGATCGCGGTCATATCAATAAGATCACGGTAATATCAATAAGATCACGGTAATATCAATATGATGACGTTAATATCAATATGATCACGGTAATATCAATAAGATCATGGTAATATCAATAAGATCACGGTAATATCAATATGATCATGGTAATATCAATAAGATCACGGTAATATCAATAAGATCATGGTAATATCAATAAGATCACGGTAATATCATTAAGATCATGGTAATATCAATAAGATCACGGTTATAATCAATAAGATCACGGTAATATCAATAAGATCATGGTAATATCAATAAGATCATGGTAATATCAATATGATCACGGTAATATCAGTATGAACACTGTAATGTTAGTATGCCAGGGTAATATTATCACGGTAATATCAATAAGATCATGGTAATATCAATAAGATCACGGTAATATCAATAAGATCACGGTAATATCATTAAGATCATGGTAATATCAATAAGATCACGGTAATAATCAATAAGATCACGGTAATATCAATAAGATCACGGTAATATCAATAAGATCATGGTAATATCAATAAGATCACGGTAATATCAATAAGATCATGGTAATATCAATAAGATCATGGTAATATCAATATGATCACGGTAATATCAGTATGAACACTGTAATGTCAGTATGCCAGGGTAATATTATCACGGTAATATCAATAAGATCACGGTAATATCATTAAGATCACAGTAATATCAATAAGATCACGGTAATGTCTATATGATCAAGGGAAAATCAATAAGATCACGGTAATATCAATAAGATCACGGTAAAATCAATAAGATCACAGTTATATCAATAAGATCACGGTAATATCAATAAGATCATGGTAATATCAATATGATCACGGTTATATCAGTATGAACACTGTAATGTTAGTATGCCAGGGTAATATTATCACGGTATTATCAATATGATCATGGTAATATCAGTACATTTATACCAGTATGGTCACAGTTATGTTATGATCAGAATATTATCAGAATGATCACATTAATATTACGGTAATATGATCATGATAACATCACTATGAACACAGTATTATCAGAATGATCACATTATCTTTATGGTAATATGATTAATGTTATGATCACATTATCATCACGGTAATATAATCACAGTAATGTTATGATCACATCATCACGGTAATATGATCTCAGTAATGTAATGATCACATTATCATCATGGTAATATGATTAATGTTATGATCACATCATCACAGTAATATGATCAAAGTAATGTTATGATCACATCATCACGGTAATATGATCTCAGTAATGTAATGATCACATTATCATCATGGTAATATGATTAATGTTATGATCATGTCATCACAGTAATATGATCAAAGTAATGTTATGATCACATCATCACGGTAATATGATCTCAGTAATGTAATGATCACATTATCATCATGGTAATATGATTAATGTTATGATCATGTCATCACAGTAATATGATCAAAGTAATGTTATGATCACATCATCACGGTAATATGATCTCAGTAATGTAATGATCACATTATCATCATGGTAATATGATTAATGTTATGATCATGTCATCACAGTAATATGATCTCAGTAATGTAATGATCACATTATCATCATGGTAATATGATTAATGTTATGATCATGTCATCACGGTAATATGATCAAAGTAATGTTATGATCACATCATCACGGTAATATGATCAAAGTGATGTTATGATCACATTATTAGCTATGATAGTATGACAGTAATGTTATGATCACATTATTAGCTATGATAGTATGACAGTAATGTTATGATCACATTATTAGCTATGATAGTATGACAGTACTGTTATGATCACATTATTAGCTATGATAGTATGACAGTACTGTTATGATCACATTATTAGCTATGATAGTATGACAGTAATATCAGGGACGTAATGGTAATATGATTAATGTTATGATCACATCATCACAGTAATATGATCACAGTAATGTTATGATCACATTATTAGCTATGATAGTATGACAGTAATGTTATGATCACATTATTAGCTATGATAGTATGACAGTAATGTTATGATCACATTATTAGCTATGATAGTATGACAGTAATGTTATGATCACATTATTAGCTATGATAGTATGACAGTAATGTTATGATCACATTATTAGCTATGATAGTATGACAGTAATGTTATGATCACATTATTAGCTATGATAGTATGACAGTACTGTTATGATCACATTATTAGCTATGATAGTATGACAGTAATGTTATGATCACATTATTAGCTATGATAGTATCACAGTAATGTTATGATCACATTATTAGCTATGATAGTATCACAGTAATGTTATGATCACATCATCACAGTAATAGTATCACAGTAATGTTATGATCACATTATTAGCTATGATAGTATGACAGTAATGTTATGATCACATTATTAGCTATGATAGTATGACAGTAATGTTATGATCACACTATTAGCTATGATAGTATGACAGTAATATCAGGGACGTAATGGTGATATGAGGGTTGTCACAGTTCAGTGCTGATGCTCTCACAATGTAAAATTGATCTGTGATTTCTAGGATTGTTTGCATCTTTGCTGTGAGGAATGAGATCTGAAAGTGAAGTATTAAGCCACTTTATTATCTAGCTATCGAACTGATGTTCCCCGGGATGGCAGAGAATCCTGTTTGCAAGAGGTGAGGGGACTCGTCACATGACATGCTTATATATTTCTGAGAAATCTGACCAACAATTGCTTCCATTTCAGATCGACACAACTATTCCCATGACAGTAGAGTAAGTATTGTTTAAAGGTTTATCATGCCATGTCTGCAGTTTTGACACTTTGTCATACATACTGCCCGTGACTAGAATATGCTGAATGTCGTGTTTCAAACTGGGCTCTCTCCCCTGAACTCAACTTACCAAGACCTCCTAGGGCGGTGGGGTAGCCGAGCGGTTAAAGCGTTCATTCATCATGCGAAAGACCTGGGTTCGATTCCCCATATGGGTACAATGAGTGAAGCCCATTTCTGGTGTCCTCCGCCGTGATGTTGCTGGAATGTTGCTGGAATATTGCTAAAAGCGGCGTAAACCATACTCTCACTCACTCACTCACCAAGATCTACCTCATCAGCGTGAGGAGTGGAGTGCAGGCTATTTGTCAAGGACTGTAATCTACAAGACATTTGTCCCAGCAGACATTTTGACTAAAATACAATTTGAGAAATATGTTGCCTCCCATCTCTCTTCTTTGGAAAAATAGGCCGCCTCCGTGGTCTTGTGGTAGAGCGTCCGCCCGGAGAGCGGAAGGTCCGGGGTTCGATCCCCGGCCGCGTCATACCAAAAGACGTTAAAAGATGGTATTTGTTGTTACCCTGTCTGGCGCTCGGCATTAAGGGGCTAAAACAAGGACTGGTCGGCTCGGAGTCAGTATACTGTGTCTGAGTGGGGTATTCATGTTAAACTGCGGCATGGTATCTCAGTGAGCTAGAACTATAAATCGGCATCAGTCCGGACTAGTACAAGCAGCCACACACACACACGTGCATGCACTTCGCTATATAAGTGCAAAAATCTTGGACGCGACGTTAAACCCAATTTCACCTCACCTCATCTTTGGAAAAATATGGATGAAAAATTAGCTTTATGTATTTTCTGACCCTCTGTTGAAAGTTGGCTTGACCTTCCGTTGTTGTATGTGAACATTGACCTCCTTGTCATACATTAGCCTTGACCTTCCATTGTTGTATGTGAACCTTGACCTCCTTGTCATACATTAGCCTTGACCTTCCATTGTTGTAAGTGAACCTTGACCTTCCTTGTCATACATTAGCCTTGACCTTCCATTGTTGTATGTGAACCTTGACCTTCCTTGTCATACATTAGCCTTGACCTTCTATTGTTGTATGTGAACCTCGACCTTCCTTGTCATACATTAGCCATGACCTTCCATTGTTGTATGTGAACCTTGACCTTCCTTGTCATACATTAGCCTTGACCTTCCATTGTTGTATGTGAACCTCGACCTTTCTTGTCATACATTAGCCTTGACCTTCCATTGTTGTATGTGAACCTTGACCTTCCTTGTCATACATTAGCCTTGACCTTCCATTGTTATATGGTAACCTTGACCTTCTGTTGTTGTTAACCAAGATCTTAATCACATTTCAGCAGGATGACATACCCATGACGGACCTTGGCCCTGGTTATGCCCCCCTCGAGGAGCCACAGCCACCCCCCCACAGAAACAAGCCACCAGTCGGGGGTGTCGCCCTCTTCCCAAACATGCAACAGGTTAGCTTAGATTCATAGTCATGTCATGTGTAGTGACGCCCACAGGGACAAGCCACCAGTCGGGGGTGTCACCCTCTTCCCAAACATGCAACAGGTTAGCTTAGATTCAATGTCGTGTCATGTGTAGTTACACCAACAGGGACAAGCCACCAGTCGGGGGTGTCGCCCTCTTCCCAAACATGCAACAGGTTAGCTTAGATTCATAGTCGTGTCATGTGTAGTGACGCCCACAGGGACAAGCCACCAGTCGGGGGTGTCGCCCTCTTCCCAAACATGCAACAGGTTAGCTTAGAGTCATAGTCGTGTCATGTGTAGTTACTCCAACAGGGACAAGCCACCAGTCGGGGGTGTCGCCCTCTTCCCAAACATGCAACAGGTTAACTTAGATTCATAGTCGTGTCATGTGTAGTTACTCCAACAGGGACAAGCCACCAGTCGGGGGTGTCGCCCTCTTCCCAAACATGCAACAGGTTAACTTAGATTCATAGTCGTGTCATGTGTAGTTACACCAACAGGGACAAGCCACCAGTCGGGGGTGTCGCCCTCTTCCCAAACATGCAACAGGTTAGCTTAACACAAGGATTTAGTCGGCAAGGATATAGTTGGTAATTCACTCTGAGAAAGAGACATCCCAAAGTCTCCTAAGCTTTCCGCTATAGAAAAGTGCTGGATGTTTAGATTGTATGATGATGTGAGAGGACTAATCCAAGGCTGAGCGTGTTCCCAAGACAGCAGAGTGGTAAGAACTGATCAGTGTGGGGGGCCCATGGTTACAGGGTGTGATCGGACTCAAAGTAAGTTGATGGATTTGATCGTTTTTTTCAAAGACTGTTTTCAAGAATTAACGTATGGTCCAGATTCAATTCATGGCCACCATATGGGGCAGAGTGGGTCATGTAGAGTCACTCAGTAAGGTGAGTTCTCAATACATACACAGCTAAGTAAAGCTCGTACCTCTCCGTCGTGTACCAGCCAGGGGGCATGGGTGGCCCAGTCGTCTAAGGCGCTGTCATTCGCTTTGCAGAGTTACATCCCTTGGGTACGCAAGAAACCTATGATTGTGGGTTTGAATCCTGGATCGCCCCGAATAGGTTTACCAGCACGATGCCCGTGCTTGTGGTTTTCACCGAAGTGGTAAACGTCTGAGACCTGCATTACTTCGGGCTTTCCTCCCAAATTAAGCTGACACGCCGCAATATGACTGTGATATTGTTAAAAGCGGTTAAACCCAACTCACTCACTCACTCACTCATGTAGCAGGCAGACTATGAACTGTATGGTTATAGTGATGACACAAAACAAATACATTGTTTTCTTTCTGTGCCCACAGGAGCCAGCCGACCAGTCCGGGGAACCATTGTATGCAAAGGTAAACAAGAAGGGCCAGCGTCGTAACGATGACTACGTACACTCCAGTAAAGTCATGCTGGACGCGGGGGGAGGACCACAGGGCGGGGCCGACTCCTGGGTGTGATCACATGACCCTGCTGTCATCTGTTAAGTCATGCACTGAACCAAGGGAGATAACCCTTGTCCAGGGAAGGAACTCCTGTCCATTGGAAGTTTTTATGTCTGCAGATAAAACTTTGAAAAGTGAAAACAGGGGAGGTAACTCTGTACATACTGCAGTGTTGTGGACGTTTTTACGACATATCTGCATAAAAAACAGCGGAAATTGTAATAATCTGTGAATTCACATGTCAAAGGATCATTTGGAATTGATTACATAAGCTTCTTCGTGATATCGACTGTGGATGTACCGAGGAATGTGCTTGTGCCCAAACCTGTCATGGGTGTTACTGATTCGAAGGATCACAGCCCTCAGACTGTGTGCCGACTCAATACAGGTTGTTAACTGACGACATTGCGCGGAGGATATGTGATGTTCTCTCAACCCCTTCTGTTTTGACTCAAAAGGATGTGTGATAGTACAGAATAATTTTAGCTGTAGTCAGAAATATTGTATATACATGGAGCGCTGACGTTAACTGATTGTACAGCTACTTCTGATGCCAGGGTTGTCAGACCGGTACTGGAATCACTGTGACAGACTTTGTGTATGCACACCATAATAACCATGGCAATGTGCGTGCCCAACGAGGTGTATCAGATTTGTCTAGTAATATTCAGTTATTTTCTAATTTCGTATTTCATCTAGCACACAGGTGTTGATGTGTGGGATGCGAGTACAGTTCATGCATGTTCATGTCAGGAGTGAATATATGTCATCGTTTTAAGACACTGTAGCATTACACGGAGTGCAGACGTACACAGCAGAAGATATATATTTTTCTATGAATCAAGTTGCTTTGTTTTTGTAGCTGCTGCTATCTCACATATCCAAGTCTGTCATAGAATATGTATAGTTATCTCCCTTTGAGGGACTTGAATGCCATGCAAATGTCTCCTTCTGGAACTCTAATTCCACGTTAAACGGAGTTGTCCCCCTTTCTTGAACTCTTCTAATGTCATGTTTATGGAGTTATCTCCCTTTGAGGTCATTTGTGTTTGCTGCACAAAGGTATCTCGCATTGTTTCAACCAAATCCGACTTCTCCGAGTAGAAAACATCAGACTGTTAGTGGTTTCCTTGTAAACAGTTTGTGATGGGCAATGAGCCATACCTTTGTGTAAAGAAAGGCCTCCCTGACACAGGACTGACGTCCTTGGATTAGATTGTCCATATCTGAAACATGTATATAATCATGTGACAATGGTTTCTTCTGCTCCCTTTCTTCTGCACCTGTGTCAGGTTCTGCGACAACTCCACTTCTGTCTGTCCTCATATCCTGCTTGCACTCCAGCTTCGTAGTCGGTTAGCAATATATGATAGAGTATTAATACCGTAATCCACACTTCTTGTCCTTCCTGTGGTAATCAGTAGGATCGGGCCTCATCAGGCGGACATTTCCACTTGGACTACACTGTGATTCTTGGATGGTGGTGTGCAGGATGTCATACGATTCTGATACCACCAGTAACACGTCCCTGATGTAGAACTGAACCCAGAAAGCTGTCCCATAGAGCCTTCTGGAACAAAGATTCCAAGTCTAAAATATATAAAAGTAGTTTTGGAATGATTTTGGTTTGTGACAACATGTATAAAGAAATTCTGTAAATTATTGGAATCCTTCTGGATATTTGTCAACAGTATGCAGTATTTATTGTTGAATAATCATCTTGGAGAATTTGCGGAAGTCCCTTTTGAAGAGTTCTCTCCCCTTTGACAGCAAGCTTGTGACGTAACCAGTAATTGCCCTTTAACAGAAAACCTTGGACATTAATTCCTACCTGAAGATATTGTTTTTCTCAGATGCTGTTTACAGCCGCTGGGATGAGAGATTAGGACAAAGTAAAGTTCTTGTGTGATAATAATTGATATTTACACTTTGAATTATATTCAAGTATGAATTTCCTCTTTAAATGCAAGTATGTGTTAGAACGAACATGTTACAGCTTAACTGGTGATACAGCACACCTCGACTGCCATATTCTGCATTAATGTAGGCCATTTCTCCTATTGTTATCTTCAGCTGCAACACGGCAAGTTTGTCAGGACACTATCCCACTTTGAGCCTATGCACAAGTAACCGATGTCTGCTCAAAGACCTGATTATGTTGTGATAATTATGAACCTTTTCATAAATCTGTTTTTTTTATGTGAATAAAAATGAACATTTCTCCATAATTCAGTGTTTTCCAGTTTTTTTATTACCAAGATAAATGTGTGTATGTGATATTATGTATAGAAAGAAATTTAACTGTTAACACGATAGAATAAAAAATGTTCTGCATGACATATATTTTATGAAAACAATTGTCCTTAGAAATGCTCTGTACACAACCGTTTCAAAAGAAATTGTTTTATTTAAAGACTGTTATTGAATGATTTTAGAATATATATACATATTGTTTTGAGTGAAAATGGTTGGATAAAGAGCATTTTTGTACATCTCTTATTCAATATTCTTACATAGGACAGAATCTTTCTGATGACACCATTGACTTCTAAGGCTCTGCGACTTAATTCTCAGAATATTAATCCAGTCTGATTTATGAACAATGTATGTGAAGTGGTGAAGAGCCAGCCTCAGACCACTGCAGCCAGGGTTGGTTGCCATGGAGACGCGTCTCGTTCACCAACCATCCTGTTGTCTTGCCCATTAAAATCATTTGTCGTGTCGTGTATCATATCATTTTGAGAAATAATAAATTTTTCCAGATAATTAGATTGTTTCATGTTTTTGAAGAAGGGTACAGCTGCTGATTATCTTGCAAGTGTCATCTTGTTTTAGGAGTTGGATTCAGTGAGTGAGTGGAGCTGAATGATGCTTTGAGTGTTTCCGTATCACATGGGTACAGTCTATAGTTGAATCAATGGCTACACTACAGTCTATGGTTGAATCAATGGCTACAGTATGTGGTTGAATCAATGGCTACACTACAGTCTGTGGTTGAATCAATGGCTACACTACAGTCTGTGGTTGAATCAATGGCTACACTACAGTCTATGGTTGAATCAATGGCTACACTACAGTCTATGGTTGAATCAATGGCTACACTACAGTCTGTGGTTGAATTAATGGCTACACTACAGTCTGTGGTTGAAACAATGGCTACACTACAGTCTGTGGTTGAATCAATGGATACACTACAGTCTGTGGTTGAATCAATGGCTACACTACAGTCTATGGTTGAATCAATGGCAAGACTACAGTCTGTGGTTGAATCAATGGCTACACTACAGTCTATGGTTGAATCAATGGCTACACTACAGTCTGTGGTTGAAACAATGGCTACACTGCAGTCTATGGTTGAATCAATGGCTACACTGCAGTCTATGGTGCTATACCACAGTCTATGGTTAAATCAATGGCTATACTACAGTCTGTGGTTGAATCAATGGATACACTACAGTCTGTGGTTGAATCATTGGCTACACTACAGTCTATGGTTGAATCAATGGCAAGACTACAGTCTGTGGTTGAATCAATGGCTACACTACAGTCTATGGTTGAATCAATGGCTACACTACAGTCTGTGGTTGAAACAATGGCTACACTGCAGTCTATGGTTGAATCAATGGCTACACTGCAGTCTATGGTGCTATACCACAGTCTATGGTTAAATCAATGGCTATACTACAGTCTGTGGTTGAATCAATGGCTACACTACAGTCTACGTTTGAATCAATGGCTACACTACAGTCTATGGTTGAATCAATGGCTACTCTACAGTCTATGGTTGAATCAATGCCTACACTACAGTCTATGGTTGAATCAATGGCTCTACTGCAGTCTATGGTTGAATCACTGGCTATACTACAGTTGAATCAATGGCTACACTACAGTCTATGGTTGAACCAATGGCTGCACTACAGTCTATGGTTGAATCAATGTCTATACTACAGTCTATGGTTGAATCACTGGTTACACTACAGTCTATGGTTGAATCAATGGCTACACTACAGTCTATGGTTGAATCAATGGCTACACTACAGTCTATGGTTGAATCAATGGCTACACTACAGTCTGTGGTTGAAACAATGGCTACACTGCAGTCTATGGTTGAATCAATGGCTACACTGCAGTCCATGGTGCTATACCACAGTCTATGGTTAAATCAATGGCTGTACTACAGTCTGTGGTTGAAACAATGGCTACACTACAGTCTATGGTTGAATCAATGGCTCTACTACAGTCTGTGGTTGAAACAATGGCTACACTAGTCTATGGTTGAATCAATGGCTACACTACAGTCTATGGTTGAATCAATGGCTACACTACAGTCTGTGGTTGAATCAATGGCTACACTACAGTCTATGGTTGAATCAATGGCTACACTACAGTCTATGGTTGAATCAATGGCTACACTACAGTCTGTGGTTGAATTAATGGCTACACTACAGTCTGTGGTTGAAACAATGGCTACACTACAGTCTGTGGTTGAATCAATGGATACACTACAGTCTGTGGTTGAATCAATGGCTACACTACAGTCTATGGTTGAATCAATGGCAAGACTACAGTCTGTGGTTGAATCAATGGCTACACTACAGTCTATGGTTGAATCAATGGCTACACTACAGTCTGTGGTTGAAACAATGGCTACACTGCAGTCTATGGTTGAATCAATGGCTACACTGCAGTCTATGGTGCTATACCACAGTCTATGGTTAAATCAATGGCTATACTACAGTCTGTGGTTGAATCAATGGATACACTACAGTCTGTGGTTGAATCATTGGCTACACTACAGTCTATGGTTGAATCAATGGCAAGACTACAGTCTGTGGTTGAATCAATGGCTACACTACAGTCTATGGTTGAATCAATGGCTACACTACAGTCTGTGGTTGAAACAATGGCTACACTGCAGTCTATGGTTGAATCAATGGCTACACTGCAGTCTATGGTGCTATACCACAGTCTATGGTTAAATCAATGGCTATACTACAGTCTGTGGTTGAATCAATGGCTACACTACAGTCTACGTTTGAATCAATGGCTACACTACAGTCTATGGTTGAATCAATGGCTACACTACAGTCTATGGTTGAATCAATGCCTACACTACAGTCTATGGTTGAATCAATGGCTCTACTGCAGTCTATGGTTGAATCACTGGCTATACTACAGTTGAATCAATGGCTACACTACAGTCTATGGTTGAACCAATGGCTGCACTACAGTCTATGGTTGAATCAATGTCTATACTACAGTCTATGGTTGAATCAATGGCTACACTACAGTCTATGGTTGAATCAATGGCTACACTACAGTCTATGGTTGAATCAATGGCTACACTACAGTCTGTGGTTGAAACAATGGCTACACTGCAGTCTATGGTTGAATCAATGGCTACACTGCAGTCCATGGTGCTATACCACAGTCTATGGTTAAATCAATGGCTGTACTACAGTCTGTGGTTGAAACAATGGCTACACTACAGTCTATGGTTGAATCAATGGCTCTACTACAGTCTGTGGTTGAAACAATGGCTACACTAGTCTATGGTTGAATCAATGGCTACACTACAGTCTATGGTTGAATCAATGGCTCTACTACAGTCTATGGTTGAATCAATGGCTCAACTACAGTCTATGGTTGAATCAATGGCTCTACTGCAGTCTATGGTTGAATCAATGGTTACACTACAGTCTATGGTTGAATCACTGGCTATACTACAGTTGAATCAATGGCTACACTACAGTCTATGGTTGAACCAATGGCTTCACTTCAGTCTATGGTTGAATCAATGTCTATACTACAGTCTATGGTTGAATCACTGGCTACACTACAGTCTATGGTTGAATCAATGGCTACACTACAGTCTATGGTTGAATCAATGGCTACACTTCAGTCTATGGTTGAACCACTGGCTACACTACAGTCTATGGTTGAATCACTGGCTACACTTCAGTCTGTGGTTGAATCAATGGCTACACTACAGTCTATGGTTGAATCAATGGCTACACTACAGTCTCTGGTTGAATCACTGGCTACACTACAGTCTATGGTTGAATCACTGGCTATACTACAGTCTATGGTTGAATCATTGGCTAAACAACAGTCTATGGTTGAATCACTGGCTATACTACAGTCTATGGTTGAATCAATGGCTATACTTCAGTCTATGGTTGAATCAATGGCTACACTACAGTCTGTGGTTGAATCAATGGCTACACTACTGTCTGTGGTTGAAACAATGGCTACACTACAGTCTGTGGTTGAATCAATGGCTACACTACAGTCTATGGTTGAATCAATGGCTACACTACAGTCTATGGTTGAATCAATGGCTCAACTACAGTCTATGGTTGAATTAATGGCTCTACTGCAGTCTATGGTTGAATCAATGGTTACACTACAGTCTATGGTTGAATCACTGGCTATACTACAGTTGAATCAATGGCTACACTACAGTCTATGGTTGAACCAATGGCTTCACTACAGTCTATGGTTGAATCAATGTCTATACTACAGTCTATGGTTGAATCACTGGCTACACTACAGTCTATGGTTGAATCAATGGCTACACTACAGTCTATGGTTGAATCAATGGCTACACTTCAGTCTATGGTTGAACCACTGGCTACACTACAGTCTATGGTTGAATCACTGGCTACACTTCAGTCTGTGGTTGAATCAATGGCAACACTACAGTCTATGGTTGAATCAATGGCTACACTACAGTCTCTGGTTGAATCACTGGCTACACTACAGTCTATGGTTGAATCATTGGCTAAACAACAGTCTATGGTTGAATCACTGGCTATACTACAGTCTATGGTTGAATCAATGGCTATACTTCAGTCTGTGGTTGAATCAATGGCTACACTACAGTCTGTGGTTGAATCAATGGCTACACTACTGTCTGTGGTTGAAACAATGGCTACACTACAGTCTGTGGTTGAATCAATGGGTACACTACAGTCTATGGTTGAATCATTGGCTATACTACAGTCTATGGTTGAATCACTGGCTATACTACAGTCTATGGTTGAATCACTGGCTATACTAGTCTATGGTTGAATGAATGGCTACACTTCAGTCTGTGGTTGAATCAATGGCTACACTACAGTCTGTGGTTGAATCAATGGCTACACTACAGTCTATGGTTGAATCAATGGCTACACTACAGTCTATGGTTGAATCAATGGCTACACTACAGTCTATGGTTGAATCAATGGCTCTACTACAGTCTATGGTTGAATCAATGGTTACACTACAGTCTATGGTGCTATACTACAGTCTATGGTTGAATCAATGGCTCTACTACAGTCTATGGTTGAATCAATGGCTACACTACAGTCTATGGTTGAATCAATGGCTACACTTCAGTCTATGGTTGAATCACTGGCTACACTACAGTCTATTGTTGAATCATTGGCTATACTAGTCGATATTTGAATCATTGGCTATACTTGATGTATTCATTTGTCTTTTTCAACATTGAAGTTTCATGTTTAAGTGAGTATTAAAGAAATTCCTTCTGTAGATGTTTTTTATAACATGAAGTGTATTTCAAAATGAGAAAAGTGAGTGAAATATGTTTTGAAATACACAAGTTGTATCAAAAACATTAATAAATCTAAATTACTACTCAAAGAGACATGAAGCCCGGTTTGCTTCCACCACGGTGCCATCAGACAGCCACTGAGAGGGAGTGGTAGATAATACGAGTAATGTCCGTATGATCATGATGAAACACAATCAACCAAGTACAGTGCCTGGCCACCTGATTCCATGTATGTCACTCAGGGTATTCCGAGTTAGAATAGGCAGTAAACGGCGTCTAGATGGATCGAGTGGCGGAGTTTGGCATTAAACACACAACCCTAGGAGAAAGACTTGACTATTCACAGGCTGCTGGCGTATTGCGGAGTTTGGCGTTAAACACACAACCCTAGGTGAAAGACTTGACTATTCACAGGCTGCTGGCGTATTGCGGAGTTTGGGGTTAAACACATAACCCTAGGAGAAAGACTTGACTATTCACAGGCTGCTGCCACAAAGCTGGCGTATTGCGGAGTTTGGCGTTAAACACACAACCCTAGGAGAAAGACTTGACTATTCACAGGCTGCTGGCGTATTGCGGAGTTTGGCGTTAAACACACAACCCTAGGAGAAAGACTTGACTATTCACAGGCTGCTGGCGTATTGCGGAGTTTGGCGTTAAACACACAACCCTAGGAGAAAGACTTGACTATTCACAGGCTGCTGCCACAAAGCTGGCGTATTTCAGAGTTTGGCGTTAAACACACAACCCTAGGAGAAAGACTTGACTATTCACAGGCTGCTGGCGTATTGCGGAGTTTGGCGTTAAACACACAACCCTAGGAGAAAGACTTGACTATTCACAGGCTGCTGGTGTATTGCGGAGTTTGGCGTTAAACACACAACCCTAGGTGAAAGACTTGACTATTCACAGGCTGCTGGCGTATTGCGGAGTTTGGCGTTAAACACACAACCCTAGGAGAAAGACTTGACTATTCACAGGCTGCTGGCGTATTGCGGAGTTTGGCGTTAAACACACAACCCTAGGTGAAAGACTTGACTATTCACAGGCTGCTGGCGTATTGCGGAGTTTGGCGTTAAACACACAACCCTAGGTGAAAGACTTGACTATTCACAGGCTGCTGGCGTATTGTGGAGTTTGGCGTTAAACACACAAACCTAGGTGAAAGACTTGACTATTCACAGGCTGCTGGCGTATTGCGGAGTTTGGCGTTAAACACACAACCCTAGGAGAAAGACTTGACTATTCACAGGCTGCTGCCACAAAGCTGGCGTATTGCGGAGTTTGGCGTTAAACACACAACCCTAGGTGAAAGACTTGACTATTCACAGGCTGCTGGCGTATTGTGGAGTTTGGCGTTAAACACACAAACCTAGGTGAAAGACTTGACTATTCACAGGCTGCTGGCGTATTGCGGAGTTTGGCGTTAAACACACAACCCTAGGAGAAAGACTTGACTATTCACAGGCTGCTGCCACAAAGCTGGCGTATTGCGGAGTTTGGCGTTAAACACACAACTCTAGGAGAAAGACTTGACTATTCACAGGCTGCTGGCGTATTGCGGAGTTTGGCGTTAAACACACAACCCTTGGAGATGGTCAGCTGGTCACCATTCAGGTTCTTAATAGCCTGCTGTTGCCATAGTAACCTTTTCAATCACTGCAGAGAACCATGAATTCTTAAAGACCTGACCTATGTGTAAGTTTCAATATAGAATGAATACATCAACAACTACCCAAAAAATCATTTAGAAGATTTTAATACCATTTACATTAACACGTATGTACGTCAATTCATTACCATCTTTATCCTTGAACAATGGACCCAACCCCCCACGCTCAAGATCTTTCAGCAGAGCAAATACGAGAAACTTCAATAGTGCTCATCATATCATCAAATTGTATGTGAAAACCATCAGTGCATCCCATCAGTGAAAACCATCAGTGTATTCAAAGATGAAAGTTTGCTTAAAATTATGAAATGACGAAAGGTATATTATCAAACACCTCTTTCTACATATATCATATGTATAGGGGGCACTTAGTGTCTGAATTGCGTCATTTGGGCCTATGATTGTAGGTTCATATCCTGGTTATGTTTCTAGGTTTGTCAGCACCAAAGTTGTAAACCTCAAAAGAGTTGTTAAACCAAAACTCACTTACTCTCTCTTCACATACATGTTTGATAGAGAAAAGACACATCATAACTCGGGTTTTACGACGAGCATTAGTTATACGCCCTTAGTTATAAATAAAATTTCTACCACAGATACTGAACAAAATGAGTTGGGGATCTTGAATATTTTTGGGTATATCTTTTGTAGTGAAGATTGAGCACACAAGTTCATAAAAATATCCCTAAAAACATTTATGATCCTAACTCTTTTGGTTCAGTGTCTATAATCCCTGTCTCGTCCGAGCATTACTTGAGCGGATGTTCTGACTTGGAATGTCTTCGCAGCGAGGCAGCGTAAGGGAAGGACTGGCCACACTCGACACACAAGAACCTACTCCTGCCACCAGCTAGGGTTGTTTCAGGAACCACATCTGACTTCGATGTCTTGAATGAAAGCTCTCGAGTGTTCCCACAGTTTGATTTCGGCTCTTGTGGTGTTACCTCCCCTTGAACAGACCGATGTCTCTTGGACTTTCTCTTTTGTTCTGGTGTGACTTCCATTTCAGCAGACTCAAGTTTCTCGCAAATCAGCGTCTGGTCTGGTGGAAACTCCTCTATCACTTCATCTTCAACATCGTCCTCTAGGAATGGACTTTCACGTCTCAGATCTCGCCAACTTATTTTGGCAGAAGTTGGCAGCTCTGAATCAGGATGATCTGTTTTAAAATGCCGCCTCATGGCCGAAATGGTCTTGAATGTTTGGTCACACGCTGAACACTGGGTTCGTTTAAGATGTTCAGAATGTTCTCCTTTGTGCTGCAAAAACCTGGCTTTCCCAATAATCACTTTCAAACACACCTGACACTGGTACTTCTTGATTGGTTTGGAAGCAGACGCAAACACCGGTGGACTCAGGTGTGTTTTGGAATGCCTTTCTAAACTAAACTTGGACGAAAAAATCTGATGGCATTCTGGGCACTCAATTGGTGCAGACGTCCTCCGGCAGTTGCTGACGTGATGGCGGTGGTCCTGGAAGTTCACGAACACAGCCTTACATTTCTGACACTTAAACTGCTGGCACACTCGGGTCACATGGTTGTTCAGACCAGTTTTGGAAGGGAAAGACTTGAAACACTTTTCACATTTGTACTTCCTGTAGGGATTCTGGCCAAGATGGTCGAGCTCGTGCAGCTTATGGCCGCTCCGGGAAGTGAACTCTCGGCCACAGAACTGACACTTGAACCTCACGCCCTGGTGGACCACCTGGACATGCTCCTGCTGCCGAGCCTCGCTGGTGAACAGGCTGGTACAGCGGTCACACTTGTAGTAACGGAAAGATATGTTCATGTGTTCAAACACTTCAGTTCCTGGCTTCGGAGTTGCAGTTTCTGTGCCATTTCCAAACATGAGAACTGGTCTGGCTGGGTCTGAAGTGATGACGGGTTCTGCATCTCCAGGTTCTTTGTACTCACCGGGATGATGAACAACAGAACCATCAGGTCGGAGGACTGGCTTCACATCTTCAGTACATCCTGGCCCACCATAGTGGGTCATCTCGGCGTCATCCATGCCATCATAGTTGGGCATCTTGGCATCATCCATAGCACCAAAGCCACGTCCTGATGCTGCCGATGTCCCTCTGCGATCCACGGCTGTTCCATCGGGAAGCAGGATGGGTTTGACATCCTCTGCCCCACTATCACATGCCATGCCATGTGCATCCTCATCCATTCTGCCCTTATGCCTGGTAATCTCTGCAACATCATTGGATACTGTTTGTTCAAATTCATCTTTGCTCATGGTCACTGCTTCCAGAAACGTTTCTTGTTGCTCAAGAGTGTTTTGACCTATTCCTATTTTATCATTGTCATCCTCTTCCTGTTCACACAAGTTGTCCTCGTCCTTGTTCGGTAAAACCACCCATTCTTGGTCCTCGTCATCGCTCCAGGACACGCTGACCACGTGAGGCTGACTGTCTCTTGCTGCATCTTCTTCAGAATCTACTTCATGAAAGGGTGTCTCATCCACACCCTCAAAAGTTCTCTCATCCATGACCTCAAATGTCGTCTCATCCATGCCCTCATCCACACCCTCTGTTCTTTCATCGATACCATCAAATGTTCTCTGATCCACACCCTCTGTTCTTTCATCGATACCATCAAATGTTCTCTGATCCACACCCTCCGTTCTTTCATCGATACCATCAAATGTTCTCTGATCCACATCCTCTGTTCTTTCATCGATACCATCAAATGTTCTCTGATCCACACCCTCTGTTCTTTCATCGATACCATCAAATGTTCTCTGATCCACACCCTCCGTTCTTTCATCGATACCATCAAATGTTCTCTGATCCACATCCTCAACTGATGTCTCTTCATCAACATCTTTGGCACAAGGATTGGAGTCCGCATCTTTTACCGTGTCAAACTGTGCCTCACATTCCCAATGGTTCGGGTTCACACAATCTTTTGTGTTGTCAGTTTCTATTTTGACATCAGCCAATATGCTATACTCCCCATCTGATGTCCGAACTATTTCATCTTTATGTGGACGGCATGTCACAGTTTGTATTTTTGGAACACTTCTCCATTTCCGGCTGACGGCAGGATGTTTGGCTTCGAGCTCCAAGCCCCCACTCCCTTCATCTCCCTGGTCCCGCAGCGATCTCTCATCCAGAGGCTGATAGACATTCAGTCTTCTCAGAACCACAACAAAGGAGTTACAAAAGTTCATGACCGTTGTCATACGAAAAAATTTCCCCAGTTGAAGTATTTCATGGACAGAATACTCGTTGATGAACAAACTTCCTTCATACAGGTAGGAGAGGAAGTTGGTGATGGCATCATCGCTGACCCGGAAGGGCACGGTTATGGTCAGCATAGGCGTCTGTCTCGTGACAGGGCAGGTGGACAGACAGAACGGTCGTGCGATGTTGAACACCAGTTGGTGAACCTGAAACAGATGTGAGTGAGTGAGTGAGTGAGTGAGTGAGTGAGGTTTTACCCCGCTTTTAGCAATATTCTAGCAATATCACGGCTGTGTACCCATGTGGGAAATCAAACCCGGGCCTTCGGCGTGACGAGCGAAAGCTTTAACAGCTAGGCTACCTGACCGGCCCTTGAGATTTAATGGCTCCAGAACGCTTGCTACAAATGCTAGATAAACATTCACCAGAACACGATGCCCCATTACAAGAAGGCACAGAAAAACTCACCAGAACATGATGTCCGTTGATGAGTAGGCACAGAGTAATGGACAACACTCACCAGAACACGATGCCTGTTGATGAGAAGGCACAGAGCAATGGACAACACTCACCAGAACATGATGCCTGTTGATGAGACACAGAGCAATGGACAACACTCACTAGAACACGATGCCCATTGACAGGAAGGCACAGAGCAATGGACAACACTCACCAGAACATGATGCCCTTTGACGAGAAGGCACAGAAACACTCACCAGAACACGATGCCCGTTGACGAGAAGGCACAGAAACACTCACCAGAACACGATGCCCGTTGACAAGAAGGCACAGAAACACTCACCAGAACACGATGCCCGTTGACGAGAAGGGACAGAGCAATGGACAACACTCACTAGAACACGATGCCCATTGACAGGAAGGCACAGAGCAATGGACAACATTCACCAGAACATGATGCCCGTTGACGAGAAGGCACAGAAACACTCACCAGAACACGATGCCCGTTGACAAGAAGGCACAGAAACACTCACCAGAACACGATGCCCGTTGACGAGAAGGCACAGAAACACTCACCAGAACACGATGCCCGTTGACAAGAAGGCACAGAAACACTCACCAGAACACGATGCCCGTTGACGAGAAGGCACAGAAACACTCACCAGAACACGATGCCCGTTGACAAGAAGGCACAGAAACACTCACCAAAACACGATGCCCGTTGACGAGAAGGCACAGAAACACTCACCAAAACACGATGCCCGTTGACAAGAAGGCACAGAAACACTCACCAAAACACGATGCCCGTTGACAAGAAGGCACAGAAACACTCACCAGAACACGATGCCCGTTGACGAGAAGGGACAGAGCAATGGACAACACTCACTAGAACACGATGCCCATTGACAGGAAGGCACAGAGCAATGGACAACATTCACCAGAACATGATGCCCGTTGACGAGAAGGCACAGAAACACTCACCAAAACACGATGCCCGTTGACGAGAAGGCACAGAAACACTCACCAGAACACGATGCCCGTTGACGAGAAGGCACAGAAACACTCACCAGAACACGATGCCCGTTGACGAGAAGGCACAGAAACACTCACCAGAACACGATGCCCGTTGACGAGAAGGCACAGAAACACTCACCAGAACACGATGCCCGTTGACGAGAAGGCACAGAAACACTCACCAGAACACGATGCCCGTTGACGAGAAGGCACAGAAACACTCACCAGAACACGATGCCCGTTGACGAGAAGGCACAGAAACACTCACCAGAACACGATGCCCGTTGACGAGAAGGCACAGAAACACTCACCAGAACACGATGCCCGTTGACGAGAAGGCACAGGTCACAGAACTGTCGGGTTCTCCAGAAGTGTGACACCTGGGACAGGAAGTGTTCCTGAAATCCGTTCTTCTCAACCTTCTTCTGGATTCGTCTGAAACATTCAAAACATCATCAGGGCCCACTTGCACAAAGCGATCTTAGCGCTACAACTATTGTAAGCCTATGTTAAAGTATGGGAGTTACGATCACCTTAGCGCTAAGATCGCTTTGTGCAAGTGGGCCCAGGTCAGTTAGGAATGGATTGAGGACAGAACAAGGAGACCCTGGATGATGAGTGAGTCGGGTTAAACACCACTTGCAACAGCAATACATGATGTGTTAGCTTGATGTGGTCCAAAGTGATGCAGGTCTTAGACATTTACCACTTTGGAATGTGCTGACAAAACTGAGAAACATTACAAGGACAAGCCAGGATTTGAACCGAACATTATTGTTTTGTGGCCCGCCTAAGGGAGGCAACTTTGAACTACTGGGCCAACCAAGCCCCAAGTCTGTCATACAGGCCCTGAAACAAATATATCCAATACAGCCCATGCAAGTCTATAATATTTGGCAAGTCTAGATTTCTGCAGTTTCTGAAAATGAAGAGTCTCTGGGATCCTTTTTTATTATATTTTTATTAAGATAATTTAATGGTTTGTTTCTGAAAGATGTTCATTTCAGAGACTAGATGTTAGTCTACGGAGCCCACTCTGGAAGGTGAAGCTTGGAAAGAATAACAATGGTTTTGTAACTATATCATACAATTGGTAGGTGCCCACTACGGTGTCTATTGATCAATCAGGGTAGCCTCTTGTCTACACGGCAATTCAATTCCCATAACTCTGTGTAGAAATTCAGTTTGGTCTGTTTTTTACATTTTTCCCCTTTTTGTTATCGAAAAAGTATTATCTTACATGAGGAAAGACTATTCTGGTGAATATACTACACAAACAAATTATAGGAACACCCAAATATTCTGTTATAAATAGGAACATTTAATGACATGTGATCGTATCATTACAATTGTGCATTAGCAGATTATCAAGCTTCAAAACAAAAACATTTACAGTTAGCTGTCATTGAAAAGCACACACGCACAAGTCGAATAAGAAAGTGGGGGTCAAAAATGGAAATCACAATGTCAATAGCGAGTGTGTCCTCCACGTTGATTGATGCATTCGGTGCATCTTCGCCTCATGGATCTTGCAAGGGTGTGAAGGGTAGCCTGTGGAATTGCCTGCCATTCCATTTGGAGCCACTGAACCAGAACCTGAAGAGCTGGTGCGACTCCATGATTGTCCCTGACACGTCGTCCCAGAACATCCCAAAGATGCTCAATTGATGCCAAATCCAGTGAATATGCTGGCCACTGCATCACAGTCACATTGTTCTGTTGCTGGAAGCCTCTAACGACTCTAGCCCGATTTGGTCTGGCATTGTCATCTTGCAGGATTGCTCCTGGACTAATGTTTTTCAACTGTGGTAGGACAAGAGGGCGCAAAATCTCGTCACGATACCTCACTCCATTCAAATTGCCTTGAACGAGATAGAGAGGTGTTCGGTGATGCAAACTGAAGCCTCCCCATACCATCACAGAGCCACCGCCAAACCTGTTTCTTTCTCGTACAGTGGCATCATCATAACGTTCTCCAGGACGTCTCATAACCCTTACCCTTCCATCACTATGCTCAAGACAGAAACGGGACTCGTCAGTGAAGAGAACTCTGGACCATTGTTGATTATCCCATCTCAAAAGTGCCCTGGCCCAGGCAAGTCTTGCAGCTCGGTGATGAGGACGAAGATGAGGGAGTACAGCTGGACAACGTGACCTTTAAAACGCAGCTCTGAGGCGGTTCCTGATGGTCGATACGCTTACGTTGGTGTGTGTTGCTTGTCGGAGTTGCAGTCTCAAAGCAGTGGCTGTTGTGAACTGGTTCCGAAGGGCTTGCAGCATAACGTATCGGTCATCTGCCGATGTCTGGAACCGTTCCCTCAGTCTGTGAATGACAGACGGTGACACTTGAAGACGACGGGCAACATTCCTTATGGATGCACCATCTTGTAGCCACGCTATGGCCCTACTCCTGTCGTGAATGCTTAACGGTCTTCGCTTGGGCATGTTTAAGGAAATGTGTAACTTTACAGTTTCTGAAGCTTCTTTATAAAGAAAAGTTGCCACCAACTGCATGGGAATTCCGACTTTCACGTGCACTAGGTTGTTGTGTTTTGGCGTTTGAATCTGACATGGCGAGGGAGTCTTTCTGCACCCAAGTTTTTTCCTGTTTTAGCATTTAATCAATTTGACCAAATTCTTCAAAAAATGAAGCACTTGCAAAAATGCATGATTCAACACGTCATTTAAAGTGCCCTCAGTGCACACAAAAAGTTGCATTTACTGAAGTTCATAAATGACCAAGCCACATTAAGTTTTATACATGGCTATGAAATTTAGGGGTGTTCCCATAATTTTTGTGTGTAGCATAGTAACATACATTCATTATGTTTGTATTAATGTACTTTTGAAAAATAATTAACAGTAATCTTGACTTAGAAAGGGAAAATGTTAAAAAAAATCATGCAAAACAGAAGGGTAATTTCAATGGTTAACTGCAAACTTCATGTGTTGAATTTTGTAATAAAATTTATATCATTAGAATTGCAAATGCTTGAGGAACACTACAATGAAATCTTTTTTGATTATTTTTGCCAACTTCCATGCGAAAAAATATCAAAAGCAGGAGAAATGTGTTGGAATTGGTTGTTCAAGGGAGATAACCGAGTGCAGCTTGTTTACCATCAGCTGCCAAGAAGAAGAAGCGGCAATAAAATATACACCTCTAAGTCTATCGTTATTATAAACATGTTGATAAAAACAGTATCCATTGACAAAAGTGACATTGGGGTCATCTATGCATATGCAAACACAAAAGGTCAGTTAGGTAGGTACTACATTCAGTGTTCCCAAACAAACCTGGCATCGCTCTTGTCTATCAGGAACTGTGTCCGAATATTGACGATAAAGGAACTAGGGTTATTAGGATGATTGTCATCATTATTAAAATAATAGTCTAACATACAAAAAATCAGTGTCTGAAGGAGTGCAGTTGAGTATTAAATCACCCACCCTACAGGCCAGACTTAGCCCCCAGTGACTATTTCCTGTTCCGGCAAATGTGGCCTACGTGGAAGAAGTTTCGAGGATGACGAGGACATAAAGGCTGCCACAGAGGCGTGGTTAGAGGGCCAATATGTAGATTTCTATAAAAGTGGTATTAAAAGCTTGAAGGATAAACGGAATAAGTGTATTGAGGTGAATGGAGATTATATTGAAAAATGAAAGTGCAAAAGATATTCTGTGACTTGGTCTAATATTGAAGTTGCAAAACTTATTGAACGCCAGCTCATATGCCGCTGTCTGAAGACAAGTTTCAATTGTCACTTTACTGATTATATATTGTCTGTCTGACTAAAAATACTGATATTTTTACATAATATATTTATGCGTACATTCCATAAAAACTAAGATACGGTTTGTGAGATACCTTAATGCCGAGCGGGGAACAAGTAACAACAAGTACCATCTTTTAATGTCTTTTGGTGTGACTCGGCCGGGATTGAACCCCGGACCTTCCGCTCTCTGGGCGGACACTTTACCACTAGACCACGGAGGTTCTGACATATGCTAATGAGAGACAAGATAACAATCATCATCATCCACTAAGAGCTGGCCTTTTAGATTGTTGCTGGTCGTAGTCTCAGAAATCATGGCTAAGGGCATTAACTCTTGCCCCGGATATTATGTAACATTGTTTATGTGGCTATCAGAATGGTCAGTTGCAAATGTTGCGGGTGTTACATGCTGATGGTTTATGGAGGGCCATCCCTCAATTCTATGGTCTCAGAGGTCCAGATTACTTCTTGAGCAATTGAGTTTTTACTCCAAGGTTTCTATTTAAATTTGGCTATTACCGGTACATTTTTTCACTCAATGAGTGAACATCTTAAGATTTAATAAAGATGAAATAATATTTTAGATGTATATAACGGTTCTAAATATAGGCCTGTCTCGGAAAGTAAATTAGCTCGGTTGTACACATGCTGAAAACGCTTCATTGGGTATTTACGCGTGCTGTTATTATACATTTGAGTTTTTCATTTAATGCATGCGTTTCTGTGCTCAAGTTAATTGAAAGTAATTGGGTTTCAATTATTTTTAAGGGGTATTTTACGCAAATATGCTGCTTATCTGTAGCTCTGGGTCTCTGTTACTCGTCAAAACAGATTCAATTTGGCGTAAATGTCAACAAAGCTGTGAAAATTATATGAACGGACCACTGAAAATCTGTGATGACACTAGGTGTCTATGAAAAAATGTAAGTGATTGAGTTGGGTCTAACGCTGCTTTTAACAGTATTCCAGTTATATCATGGTGTGTCAGCTTAATGTGGGAGGAAAGCCTGAAGTGGTGCAGGTCTCAGACGTTTACCCCTTCGGTGAAACCCACGAGCACAGTTTGGTGCTAAGAAACCAAGGAACAAAATCATAAGTTTTTGGAGTGCCCAAGGGACGCAACTCTGCACAGCGAATCGTGGCACCTCAGACGACTGGGCCACCCGTGTCCCCCCAGGTGTCTGTGAATAAATGTAAGTGATTGCTGCCCGACATCGCACAGCCAAGCTCCTTCCATGCGACTGTAGCATAAAGTCACAAACTTGTGCTAGTGGCACACACCAGCTTGGTGCTTCTGCACAGATTCATGTCATGACGATTATTATTTTCAGACAGGACCACAAAAAATATCCCATCAACATTATCAAATAAAGACAATCGCCATTATACACACACATTAATAATTATACAAAAGAATTGCATATCAATTCTTGTCTCC